CGACGGAATTCCGACGGATTTTTCTCATCGGAAGAGGTTTTCCAGGCCACCGGAAAGTCCGTCGGAAATCTTCGACGGAATTCAAATCCGCCGGAAACTTCCGACGGAATTTCCGTCGGAATCTGCTACAGAAAAAAATAAAAAAAAAAGCCCTGCCACCTCCGGCACCACCACCCACACCCAGACCCCCCCTCCCCACCCAGACCACCTTAACCCACCCCCCTTAACCCACCTAACCACACCCAGAACCCCCCTACCCAGACCACCCACCGTAACCACCCCAGACCAGACCCCCCCTCCCCACCCAGACCACCACCACCTTATCCCACCACCTTAACCCACCCCCCTTAACCCACCTAACCACACCTAGAACCCCCCTACCCAGACCACCCACCGTAACTACCCCAGACCAGACCCCCCCTCCCCACCCAGACCACCACCACCTTATCCCACCACCTTAACCCACCCCCCTTAACCCACCTAACCACACCCAGAACCCCCCCACCCAGACCACCCACCGTAATCACCCCAGACCAGTTTCCCCCACCACTACTCCAACCCAACCCAGAACAATCCAGACGCCCCACCGCCCCAACCTACCCCACCCACCAGACCCAGGCCACCCACCGTAACCACCATTCCACCCACCCCACCAGCCTAGATCACACACCCCATCAGCCCACCCACCCCACCAGCCCACCCTACCTAACCCAGACCACCCACCCAGCCCAAACCACCCACCGTAACGAAAAAAACACAAAAAAACGAAAAATATTGCAAAAAAACCAGATCTACACAAATTGAAACCAAATACAGTCATAAAAATTTGATTTTTATTATAATCGAAACAAATATAAATCGAAACAAAAAAACAAATACCAGATCTATTCAAATTGACAAAAAAAAACAAAAAACAAGATTACAAATTGTAAAAACTACAAACAAACGAACGAAACTTGGATTTGCTCGAACGGTGGTTGTCGGTGGTTATCGGTTTATTGTTCTTGCGCCGTTGTTCGATGTTGCGTCGTTGTTGTTGGTGGTTAGCCATTGTTGACGGTGGGTGGGTAGCCATTGTTGTTGTTCAGACAGTAGAGGAGAAGGGAAAGAAGATGGAAGAAGAAAGAGAAGAGGAAAAAGGAGAGGAGAGGGAAAGAGGAGAGGAGAGGACAGAGAAACGAGAGATGGAGAGGGGAAAGAGAGGCGAAGAGAGAGGAGAGAGAAATGAGAAATGAAAAGAGGGGAGGTATGTTATGACCGTGGTTTTAGGTTTTGTTTTTTTTTATTATTTAATTATTTTCCGACGGATTTTATTTCCGTCGGAACATTAGGTTTTCCTACGGAAAATTCCCTCGGAAATTTCCGACGGATTTTATTTCTATTGGAAAATTAAGTTTCCGACGGAATATTCCGTCGGAAAACCCATAAATTCCAACGGATTTGTGTTCCGTAGGAAATCCGTCGTAAATTTCCGACGGAGTTTTGGTCCGTCGGAACTGGTCCGTCGTAAATTGGCCTATTTCTAGTAGTGTTCTAAACTTGGAAATGGGTCAAAGACCCCCCAAGCGGCTTACCACCCGGATGGGGAAACATTCGAGAGTCCTCAAAAAGAAAGAAGTAAAAGTGAAGGAAGAAAGGGATCCGGTACCTTAGAGAAATTGCAGACAAACTACTCAACCGGTAGCCGGATGTACTTGATCTCAAAACGCCGGATGCAAGAAAACTTGAAGGAAATTAGCAGCCGGTATCAGAGCTCTCTCAGAAATTTTTTGAAAATTATGTAAAGTGTGGAGGAGAGAGGGAATGCCTCCTATTTATAGGAGAGGGGCAGAAGGGGAAACGGTTCCTTCTGCCCTAACAAATTTGAAAAATCAAAAATGGGAGGGAAAGAGACGAACCGTCTCCTCCCAGGCGTCTGACACCTATCACAGGTGACACATGGACATGCCACGTCACACCTGTGAGGGGCACATGTTTAGGGTAAAAATTACCCTAGACACATGGCCCATTAAGGGCTTGCCATGTGTCAACATATCAACGGTTAGTAAACAGGCTAATCAGCTTGTGACACGTGTCCACCCCCCTCACTGGGCAAACAGAGGCTCAATCCCTCTGTGACACGTGTCCTTGTACCCTAATTGAGGTACAGTTCTCCCCTACTATAAATAGCAGAGGTAGACCTCATTCATGGAATCGACAAAAAATTCCAACAACCAACCAAACACAAAACCCATTGCAAACGCTCTCCAATCGAGAAGCATTTATTGTTCTTATTTCCTCTTCAGAAAGATTCTAACTTAATCTTCGGAGGCGGAACTCCCACCCCCCAGCCGGAGTCTCCGTTATTTGTGCAGGTACAGGCGAAGGAAGGAGCATACTAGGAAATTGTAACTCTCCCATAGGACACATAAGAAACCCCCAAACAATAACTTTAATACATTGAATAACATACGTAGTACTATATAATCTCTGGAAGTAATGTCGAGGTCCTCAAGGAAATAACTAGTTTGTTTGTAAAAACCATACTACAAAAATTAACCCTTTACAAATGCACAATTATAAAAAAAACAATTATATATTACCTATTATCCATTACTCCTTTTGTCTCTTAAAAATAGCTCTAATTTTTTTTTTTTTTTTGGTTTGTACTTTTGAGTTTGTCCTCATTCCGTTTTCATTTAACTTGGTCCCCATAGTCTCTCATTAATAATATTTTCTACCTCACATGTTAAATGATAATAATACCACTAGTAGAAAAAGGGAAATGCGCACCGATTCAAAACCGGCTTTTCGCACCGGTTTTGAACCGGTTTAGATTTGAGGGATGCCAAAAAGTGAAGGTATTCGCACCGGTTCAAAACCGGTGGTAATAATAGTAATTAGCATCGGTTAACCAGTGCTAATAACGTGTTATTCGCATCGGTTCAATTCAAAAACGGTGCCCTTAATACCCCAAAAAAATAATTTTATTTTTTTTTTGTTTTTTTTTTTTTTTGCATTTTTTTCACTTAAATTGATATATAAACACTAACATATATATAAAGTTACATATTTTCATTAAAAAAGGTTGTAATATTAAAATTTTTGCCCAATAAAATAAAATACAAAGTTACACACAAATAAAATAAAATAAAATAAAATTCTGTATATGGGAAAGTTCCATCTAAATTACCTTTAGACTTCACCAAATCCACCTACACACAAAGAGCAACATATGCAGCTGCACAACAGCACAAAAGCATTAGCATCACAGAAGCAGCAGCAAAGAATTGCATAGTAGCAGAACATCAGCATTGTCACCCTCCATTCCTTCCATCCTCCATTATCACCCTCCATTCCTTCTTTTGTGACAACAGTTCAAACTAGAGATAATGACTACAAAGAAAAAGGTTGCATTATTATGGATGAACTCTAGCATAGCAAAAGTACCAGCAGCAGCTCTAGTAGAGCAAAAGTAGCAGTAGCAGCTTTAGTAGAGCAAAAGTAGCAGCATCAGGGATGCACTTTAGGCAGCAGCAGGGAAGCTAGGCAGAAGGTTCAAGTCATTCAGTAAAGGCAAAAACACGGCTCAGAAAATACTACCAGAAAATAAAGGCATGACCGTATAGAATTTTCCATACTTTCACCATTGAGGAAGAATTTCGACAAGAATCCACAAAGATGTATGGCACACTTAGTAGAAGCTTCACACTAGTCCACATTCATATATATTACCCATCAACTAGACAACAACCAAGCAATTACTCTTTCAATTCAGCCACAACAGCAAGTTTTAGTGCATTCAAAGCAGAAACAAATCAATAATACTTGAGCAGCAGATCAATCAAAACCAAACAGAAAACTCAACAGAAGACTAATTAAACTAAACAAACTAAACCAACAACACAACCTCACTAAACAAACTAAAAAAAAAATTAGGCCTACAAATGCTCATTGCTCAAACAAAATATTGAAACAATAGCAAGAGTATTCATTTTTGGAGGTCAATTATAGATCACGTAACAAAATATTGAAACATCAAATGTTTAATACACTATTAACCACATTATCTGATTTTGATAAACCCACCACTAATAAGAGGTAGCAGAATATGAAATCAGGGGACAAAAAACTTATCTACTCTCAACTCGCTACATAAGACATAAAGGTATTGCAACCAAGAAATTAATAACAAGCTGAAAGTTAAGCAGGATAAGAAGATATAGATAATGGATACACACAACTATGCAAAGCACCCAGTTAGCTGCAAATTTAATTAAATAGGATCGGGAAAACAAGGGCCACTTTGTTGTTGCAAGTTTTCTTTCTATATAAAAGCTATGGAGTAGAAAATAAGTTTTTTGAAAAATAATAGTAGCTATTACATGCTATATTCTGTTGTAAATTTTCAGATATAACATGATTAGTAAAAATATGAGTAATCTAAGTTCAATTACAACCTATATCTATTAAAAGCTTAAAACAGGCAACAAAAAACTGAAAATTGACCAGAACATTAAGTAAAATCTAATATCAAACATGTTATGTACTAAAAGAGACCAGATCAACAAGCCAACCTATGCTAAAACCTTAATTATTATGCAGTAACTCATGTCAACAATCTCTAAATCTTACACAGGATCTAATCATCATAATCCTTTACACATACATAGTTAAAAACATACCCATCACTTTCTTTAGCTTACTTCTACTGCATATTCACTTATGGAATTAGCAATTTCCAACACTAGGGCAGTGACTAGCTGACTATAGGAGTGCAAGAGCGAAAACAACAAATGATTCCATACAGAATTATTAAAAATCAACATGTCTCACTTGATTGCAAATAAAATCTTCAATCAACCTAATAAAATGCTACCTTTAAACTCATACCACCAGGGCTAGCAGGCAATTTTAAGTTTCATTTTTAACAAATTCCGTATTTTGTCCTTCAAAGTTCATATATCAATTACAAAACACCCAATTTCCATAACAAATATACCCATACCACAATCAAGAAATCAATCAAAATATAGCCAAACAAATATATACCCAAAAAATCAAATTCAATGACAACCAATACAATATTCACAATACATCCACAAATCAAACTACTGAAATTTCAAGTATCAAATACTCTGTATACTCACAATTCAAATACTCTGTGTACCCATAATTCAAATACATGGGCAGCCTCCACACCAACGCACAATCACACCACGCATCACAGCAGCTCACCCTTTAATCGCAATCCTAGGTAAAATCTCACCTTGAAAGTTTGTAATGGTTAAATACATGACTTGCTTCCTTTTCAATGAATTTCAATTGTCCTTCTGTAAGGTGCATGTAAACAATCCAATCACCATTTTCGGTGCTACTAACCATTGGCATAACATACCCTGCATTACCATCCCATGGAAAATGATATGATCCGAACATTGGCTTACCCCAACCAAAATCGACCTTTGATATAGGAAATCGCTGTCCGGATGACATTACAAATGCCGGTCCATCATCCGTCCCGCTACTATAGATCTTCGCTAGACATGGTTCAGGACGATGGACTTCTATCCAATCGACCAAGTCAGGAAAATGCACGTTGTTCACCGCCTTCTCCACAATTTTCTGGACTTCTTGAGCCACCCAATTTAATGGTTTAGAATTTAAATCACATATCCTTTTCTCACTAAAGGGAATTGAGAGCACATTTCCAAAATAACTACTAATTAGTCTTTTTTGCTTGTTACAATTGCCCTTATTACCTAGTCTTGTTCTACCATCCACTACAATGCCCATTTTACACATCCTGGAACTTCCAATACTCGGGTTACCTTCCGTTATGCTAGCATGTTTCGATATTAACTTCCACATGAACGCACTAAAGGATTCGAGTTTAGTCCCTTCTGCTTGAGATTGAATATAATCGATTTCTTTGGCATTGACATGGTATATACGGCTAACAAGTGGTTCATGTTTGCTTGATAATAGTTCATTTTTCCCAAGAGTCAAGGACGAAATAGGTACGTACATTTCATTCAATGAGGGATCATACAAACAAGGATATCGAGCATTGAGGAGTGATCTTGTAAAAGATGGTACCATTGAGATTGGCTTTGAGTTAGCTATCTCAGCCCAAGATACTAAGAACATGTTAGTTGAGTAAGCATCTGCTACACGATGATCAAATGTGCAACCAACTACTATTCCTCCACATTTTAGCTTCGTGGCCTGCGTTGGTTAATTTGTGGCAAGCAAGGAAAGTTTGTCAATTGGTATTTTGTGGTATTGGGTATTGCATATATAATCTACAATATAATTATGTGGGATTTTATAACTTACTAATATTTTTTTTTTAAAAAAAATTACTTGTAAGATTTATTGACTTTTAACATCTTTTAAAAAAAACGCTGATTTTGGATTAAATTATTTTTTATTTTTTTATTTTTTTTTTGTATTTTGATTTTGGCACCAAAAATTACTTGTAAGATTTCCTTTTGCCACCAAATAATTGTTTTCGTCCTTGAATCCATTAATTGGTGGCAAATTTTTTTTTTAAAAAAGATGGTAAATTACAAAATTGATATCTTAAATTGATCAAATAAAGTGTTTTTTTAACCACCTTAACCTTTTTTTATTTGACCTCAACTGAACAACCTCCATCCTTAAATCTGTTAAGAGGTGGAAAAATCAAAGTAAAAAAATATTTTCAGGTGGTAAAATACAAAAACAAATCATTTTAATTTAGTTGAATCTAAATATCTAATGCAAACTCAGCTTTTTCAAGGTGATAAATAAATTTTTTTTTTTTAAAAAAAAAAAAACACCAAGAAAATACTACCTCTGTTTATCTTCTACTCACTTGCGTTATGTTTGGATAGAGAGAAATGGAGGGAAATTAAGAGGAGAGAAATGGAGGGATGCATCCTCTCTTGTTTGGATATCTAATGCAATGAGGGAAGGGGAGCAAATTGAAAGAATCCATTTTCCTTTCACTTTTAATAAATCAAATCCCTTCATTATTGGAAAGATTTGAAGGAAAATGAAAGGTCTCCTACTCCCTCCCCTCACCTCCCTTTCCCTTTACTATTGTTATCCAAACATAGTGTTAATAATATTATCAATATGTACTTTATTTCATTTTGGACAAATCATTTATATATTTTTGCTCCTCTCTTGCTTCAAAATATTACTGTAATTCTTTTCACTCTCTTTCTTTATCTACTTTTTTTTTTTTTTTATTCTTTGATTTTATCTCTCTCACTTTGTTCAACTTTTTCTTATGCACACTCACTTTTTTCAAAATTTTCTTAATATACATTTCTAGTTTCTACATGTTTAGAAGAGAATGAATAAATTGAAATGCATAGGGAAGATATCTAGAGGATTATTTTCTCAGTATACTAGGGAGTGATGACCAAAGTACAATTCGGCATTACTACTCCCTCTATTTTCTAAGTGGCACTCTAGGTTGTGTGTAGAATATATAAAGAAAGTTAAACATAATAGATATATAAGTGGATCAAAGTTCATTGGGAAAATAAATATCGTTAGAAAGTCATAGTATATGCGTTATAATCATTGATTTAAAACTAAAAATGTAAGCAAAATAATGATTAAAAATATACAACAGATAGAATAAGAGTCAATCTATTATACGTAGTAGATTATACTCAATCCACTATATTTAAATTTAAATTTAGTTGGTGTTACCTGTACGGAGAACACATTACGTTGCTTATTTTTCTTGGGCAATAACTTGCCTTCAACACTTACATCCGGATTATAAAGGTTTAGATCATCATATAGTTCAACATCGGCATAGACCTCAGTGAACTCAACTCCTTGGTTATTGCACATTAATTCAACTTCACCCTTAGAATTATGTACAACTTCACTAGAAAACACATAGAAATGAACCAAAGCTTGAGCCAAGGCCGTTTTGAGGGTGCTAACCAATTGCCCGAAAGACGAAAATCGGCTACCATAATTTGGACATTTATAGTAAAAGAACACACCCACGTCTTCAGGAGGCAATAACAAGTCTAAATTTGAGAGTGGTAGCCTATGCTCGATTATATGGTGTATTGGTACTACTTTCTCCTTTCTTTTAACCCTCACTTGGAATTCTTCTCGGGTTTTCTCCCTTTCGTACACTGATAAGCTACAACTCATTTTTTGAGGACACAGTTTTTTGTTAGTATACATCCCCTTAAATAATCATATAATTAAATCAACATGTTGTACATGTGATATATGTCAGGGTATCTTGTGGTTAGCAAATGTTGAAGGACAAACACACTTTTGCTTCAATTGAGACGTGACATAGCGGTCCATAAATAAACCTAGTCTCTCTGTTTTTTTGAGCGTCGGTTTGACGGATTTTTTTTTCAAAGTAAATTTTATTACTAAAGTATTTTGCAAAGTAGACTCGTGGTGAAAGTATTTACCAAACTAAGCTTTTAGGATAAAACGCTGTCTCGAACAGCGTTTTATACCCTGATTTTTTTTAAAAAAAAAATTAAGTATAAAACTCTGCCTCGGATAGCGTTTTTACTTGTTGACCCTTTTTTTTTTTAAAAAAAAAAAGTTTTTTTTTGTAATTTCTGATTTTTAAAAATAAAAATAAAAAAAATAAAAAAAAAATCAAATACCCTTAAAACGCTGTATGAGGCAGCGTTTAAAGTCTATTTTGCTTTTTAATGAAACGCTGGTATAACAGGGGGGGCGAGCTTCTCTCTGTCAAATTCCAACACTTGAATTCCCTCACTCAATCTCTCTCTCACTCAAAGCAAGACCCTTTCCTTCAGTCCGCCACCGCCGTCTCCCTCCAATGACCGGCCTCCGATAGCCCCAAAGACCTAGCCTCACTTCACCCCGAATTTGGTACTTGCCCCATCTCTCTTTGGTTTTTAAAATTTAGGGTTTTTGTTATTGGTTTTTAATTTTTTGGAATTGTGGTTAAAATCTTGATAATGTTGAATTGTTAGTGTTGATAATGTTGAATTGTTAGTGTTGATAATTGTTGATAATGTTGAGTTGTTAGTGTTGGTAATTGTTGATAATGTTGATAATTGTTAGTTTTTGAGTGATTGTGATAACCTGCATTGTTGTTTATTAATGGTGATTTAGTGATACTAAGTTGTTGTAATTTGAAAAGTATGTCTACATTGTTGTTTAATTATGACGATATAGGGATGATTTAGTGCCTTTAAGTAAAATGTGTTTTGGTTGTTATGTAGAATATGGCTTCACAAAATGTAGTGTTGTTATGCCGGTGGGGAGGTGAAATTCTGTTCGATGGACCCAATGTCAAGTATAGTGGAGGAAATATGGAACCACTAACACTTGAACCGATCATGACTTTCAATGATTTGATGAACGAGGTTCATAGTAGTATTGGTTCAAACCCAATGAATGTTGAACTAAACATTAAAATGAGGTTTGAGACTGGCAATGGGGTTCAAGTGTTACCTGTTTCTACGAATAAACAATTGAAAGCTTTGAGAAGCAATGTTGCAATGAAGGGTGTTCCCACTGAGATATATGTAGAAATGGTGCCTATATGTACCCAACAAAGTACTCGGCCAGAACAACAAGCTACATATATTTCCGGTTACAACACAGAGTCCTTCCAAGTGCCCTCACACGACATTCCATCGAATGAATGTAGGATGGGATCTTTCAGTAGAATGATGCACGACGATCAATTTCACATGCCGTTTAGTTCTCATATAGCTTCTCCTGTACATGGGGGGGCATATGTGACAATGTTCGGCCAACCTGGTCCTTCGACATCAAACACCGTCACACCTTCACCGATGCAATTGCATAGTTATTTGCCTATGCAAGATGATGTTCAAGCATCACCGTCTCAACCTGTGCCAAATGATCTTGAAACTATTGTGAATAACGAATTGTCTATGTATGATGTGTATGCGAAAACAAATGATGAGGACGAGAGCGGAGAGGAGGAAGATGGACTTCATAACATGGATGTTGAACTTGCACACATGGAAGTTGGTGAGCCCATGGTTAGAACTCCCGTACCTTGGTTTAGTTAGATAAACGAGAACTATGAAGTTGATCAGTATTGGGCCGAATCGGGTAGCCATACATCGTTTGTTCCCGGGGGAGAATTTGAGAAGGGCATGTATTTTGAAAGTATGAAAATGCTTCAAGAAATGGTGAAGATGTACTTTATTCAGAGGAATCAATTCTACATAGGGATATCAACGGGGCAGGTTTTGGCATTCCCATCCCCATCCCCGCCTCACATTTTCATCCCCATCCCCACCCTCATCCCCATTGCGGGTTCGAAAATTATCCCCATCCCCGCCCCGGCGGGTCTAACTCCAAAACCACCCCCGCCCTGTCCCCGTCTCAGCCCCATACCTGCCAAATCCCCGCCTCATACCCGCCAATTCCCCGTCCCATAATCGCTAATTCCCTTCGCTGGAGAGCCCTTTCCAGGCCTTCTCCCAGCCTTCTCCAGCAACTTGGAGTTTTTTGGAGATGGCTAGGAGAAGCCTAGGAAAACCCTCTCCAGGCCTTCTCCCAGAAAACTTGATATTAAAATATTATATATTAAAATACTACATATTAAAATACTAAAAATTAGTAGTACATACGAAAAAAAAAAAAAACAGTAACTCCAAATTGTCCAAAGTCCAAATATTAAAAATACTACAAGTCTACAAATATTCAAATACATAATAAGAAAAAGGCCTTGAATTACTCGGTGCAAACTCCACTTGTTCCAGAATCGATATCCCATGTTTCAAATCCTTCCTCTAATTCTCCCACTAATTTAGCATATTCATCATCCTTAAATTCTCCACAATCTACAAATACAATGTGACTTAATTAAAAAAATAAAAAAATTATATTATTAATTAAATAAAATGTTATTTTATATTTACCTTTAAGAGCAGCCCATATCCAATTTTGAGTACACATCAAAGCTTCGACATCTTCCGTTAAAAGCCGACTACGATAAGGATTAAGAACCCGACCACTTGTGCTAAATGCGGACTCCGATGCAACAGTAGAAACAGGAATGCTCAATATATCTCATGCTATTTGCTGAAGCTGAGAAGCAAAAGGAGGAATCCGCCCGAGGAGGGGCAAGAATGGGATATGTGCCTCCATTTGTCTTCCACCAGTTAAGAATATCAAAATCTTGGTCTAGAGGCACATTAGCAGCATCTAAATACCTATCCAATTCAGAAATTTCATGACTTGGGTCCTTATCTTGTTGCAAAAATTCTGCAAATTCTTGCATAAAGGTCTCTTCATTGGCTTTGCTACTACTACCCAATCAAAAGGTTGTTAACTGCTACTACCTTGAGTTTTACCAATCTTAGACCCATATTCATCAACCAATCTTCGTAGAAGATCACTAATTCTACCAACCTCAATTTCAAAGTCATGCTCATCAAAAAATTTTGCAAAATAAAAGCGAATAAGAGCCATTTTGTATCTAGGATCTAGTATTGTTGCCACTCCCATTAAACCATTCACACTAGCCCAATACTTGTTATATTTCTGTAATATAATGTCAGCCATTTTCCTTACATAATCATGAGGAGATAAAAGCAACCAGAAATAGCAATTCTCAAAGCACAAATTTTAGGTAAATAAAGATTGGCCGTAGGGTAATTTGTTCCTTGAAAATTAAGGGTAGTTTTACTAAACACTTCCAAATGTTCACATATTTTCTTAACTTTTTCCCAATCTTCAGGGGTCGGTGGATTATTATATAAATTATTACTAGCACTTAAAACAACAAACACTTCTTTATAACTAATAGCAATAGAAAGCATTTCATAAGTAGAATTCCACCGGGTTTTGCAATCAAGTGCTAACTTTCTACTACACTCAGGAGCTATTTGCTTAGCCACTTGTTCAAACCTTTGTACTCTCTTATCAGAAGCAGTCCAAAACACAACACTATCCCTAATTCTTTCACTACTAGAAAACAACCAATCAACGACGGAAAAAATCCGTCGGAAAACCCTGAAATTCCGTCGGAAATGCCCATTTCCGACGGAATTCCGTCGGAAAGCATTGTGGGAAGACCCTTTGTAGGTATTTTGCGATATTCCGTCGGAAATTCCATCGGAAAGGTCTATTCCGACGGAATTTCCGACGGATTTTGTTCTGTCTGAGTCTGATTTGACTTAATTGGAAAGTCCGTCGCAAGGTTCCGACGGAATTTTCCGTCGGTATGAGATACCTTCCGACGGAATATTCCGTCGGAATAAACTACTTCCGACGGAATTTTCCGTCGGAAGGTATCTCATACCGATAGAAATTTCCGTCGGAAAAGTCAATTAAAAAAATAAAAAAAAAATTCCCCCACCCAGACCCACCCCCGCCACCAGCCCATACCACCCACCACCACCACCCCCCCCCACACAGACCCCCCACACACCCAAACCACCACCCACACAGACCCCCCCACACACCCAAACCACCCCCACACCCAAACCACCCCCACCAGCCACCCTAAACTAAACCCACCCACCCAGACCACCCCCACCCAAACGACCCACCCAGACCACCCCCTACCACCACCACACCCACAAACTTCACCCACCCCACCTAACCCTAACCAAATCACCCAAAATAAAAAACCACCCACACAATAAATCAAATCGAGAAAACAGCCAAACCGAAATAAAAAAAAAAACCAAAAATACAATCGAAAAATACAAATCGAAAAAAAACAAAACTATATAAACAAAACAAAACAAATCAAATACAAATCAAAAAAATACGGATCCAAAAAAAAATACAAATAAACAAATGAAATCAAACAAAACAACTATATATACATTTACTTCTGAAATTAATAAAGATCCGAAAAAAAAATTAAAAAAAAAAACCCTAGATCTACAAATCATCATATGCTACTGGTTGTCGTTGATGTCGATCGAAGTTCACAAAGATGTTGTTGGTGTTGTTAATGTGGTGGTGCGTTGCTGGTTGTCGACGGAAGATGTTGGTGTCGAAGAAGAAGGGGACGAAGAAGAACCAAGGGGACGAAGAGAGATAAGGAAGGAGAAGAGTAAGAAAGAGATGGAGGAATGGAGGAGTAGAAGAGAAGAGGAAAGAAAAGAGGAGAGAGAAATAGAGGAGAGAGAGAGAGAAGAGAGGCGGAGAGGAGAGGAGAGAGAAAAGTGAAATGAAAGGGGGAAGGGTAGGGTTTCCGGGTTTTAATTTGTTTTTTTTTTTTTAAATTAAAGGCTAAAATCCGTCGGAACAAGTGTAATTTTCGTCGGAAAATTTATTTTCCGACGAAAAATTCCGTAGGAAACTTCCTACGGATTTTAATTCCGTAGGAAGTTAAATGTTCCGACGGAATAATCCGTTGGAAGTTTGCGACGGATTTTATTTCTGTAGGAAAATTAATGTTATTCCGTCGAAAACCTTATAATTTTCCTACGGATTTATTTTCCGTCGGAAATTTCCTACAGAATAAAAATCCGTCGGAATTTATGTTTTTTTCGGACGGAAATACGTGTCCGTCGGAAGATGTCCGTCGGAAAATACCCTATTTCTAGTAGTGTTTGAACACCATTTGATACCACAACACTTAAACCATCTTGAACAATCAAATTTAATATGTGAGCACAACAACACATATGAAAAAAATCACCTCGCAATAAAAGTGAGCCATATGGAAACACTCCTTTCAAAATTTCCATCATTGCATCATTAGTTGAACAATTATCCATAGTTATAGAAGACAACCTAAGATCAAGATTCCATGAATGAATCCTTTCTTTCAAAGCATCAGCAAGAACCTCGGTAGTATGAGGGGCGGGGACATATAAAAACCTACCAAAACCAATGAAATTGACTTATATTATCGGTCTATTCAATAATATTGTGGATATATGGGCTCATTATTATCATCCATCATCATAACATATAATTATTATGATTTTTTCTGGGGAACAATAATATAAAGGTATGTTATCATTTTAAATCTCACACAAAAAACTATAGCAATACAAAGGCAACCAAAAAAATTAAACAAGTTATAAGTAGCCAGAAAAAGATACCTTATGATCCGACTTTGCAACTTCCATGTATTATCAATAAAATGTGAGGTGACCGCCATATAGCCTTTTCTCTGGTTTTCAGCAATCTACATGTCAGTAGTTAAGGCAATCTTACCCTTTTCTTTCCTCAACAAGGTTGCAACATTCTCCTTCTCAAGTTCATATCTTTTCATAATATCTTTTCTAGTTGTATTGCGAGACGGCACTTTAAATCCAGGTTGGAGTGTCTTATTATATTTTCTAAAACCCATATGCTCAACCATGATAATTGGATACTCATGAAAAATAATCATCTCCGCCAAGTCTCTTCTTCCATCTTCTTGGTGGAATTCGTAAGGAGCCAATGTCATCGTGTCATTCTTATCATTCAAGTTGTTTTTTTTATACCAAACATTCTTGTTTGTCGAAGATCTTGACATACTCTCTTTGGACATATTTTTAAATGATCTTTCAAATGAGTAGTTCCTGCTTTCGACCCACCAGCAAGTAGCTTGGAGCAATGGTTGCACTCAGCTTTTACCACATCACCAACTCTCTTTCTCTTAAAGTTAGACCACACTGCTGAAGTATGCCTACTAGTTATTGGTAGGACAGAAGGATCGAAATTAGTCTCCACAGGACTTTCATCATCATCTAATGCAATTGGAGTATTACTAGCTGAAGTGGGAACACCAGCATTATTCTCATTCTTTGATGCCATTCTCCCCTATAAATTTAAATGAAGACAATTAATGCACTAGACATGAACAAATCAGTGAACATAGAAAACCAAACCTATGAAAGTGATAATAATCCAAAAACACCAGTAGCTAGAAGAAATTAAAATCACATCAATGCATTTGTCATTTCACTTCAAAGTGTAAAGCTAAAATAATGACAAAGGAAAAAGAAACAGCCACTACACCATTCCCCTGTAGCAGCTTATTAGAAATATAGTAATCAAGGTAAAAAAGAATACATATAAAATGAGCATCGAACATTTACATCTTGAAGACTACTATATATTTGTTTCAACAGACATAATAAAAGGTCATTTCAGATTACATTGTCCATTAAGAAGCAAGATTCAAATTACAAGTAATCAGTCAATCCAATCTAAATTAAAAAAAAAAAATCTCACGTCTAAAACCCCAAGGCAAAGTAACATAACCAAATTGTCACAGAGAAAACCTTAGATTGCAAAACTCACATTCGAAAAACAATGTAACAATATTGTACTAATTGTTTGACCAATAGCTTACATTGTGATATTGAATACTAAGATATAACTAAATTTACAAAATAAGAAACAACAGAAAGTTTTATTTAAACTATTTAATTCAATTACAAAGGCGGTCTCCTACTTAGCAAGCTAATACATCATAGATTCATAGATCAATTAGCAAAATACAAATTTGATTGATACTCCTTACAAGCTACATTTAATCCCCAAAAAACTATACTTGAACCCTTACATATCTACAAAAAGGATTACATATCTACAAAAAGGGACAAATACTAGAAAATTCAAAGATTGAGAGTGCGAAAATGTTTACCTGTTGAATCACCCATGGCGGGTATGGATTTTAGACCTATCCCCGCCCCGCGACCCGCCAAAGCTAGACCCATCTCCGCCCCATCGGGGCGGGGATGGGGCGGGTCTCCTACTAGACCCGCCCCACTGCCATCCCTAATTCTACACCACAGTGACCTCGAATGAGAATGTCCTTCATCTGCGGTGCAAGAAGAAATGTGGTTGGTCGCTACGGGGTACTAAAACAAGTGAGCACGGGCGTGGGTTCACCCTAGTCAAATACAAAGGCCCGCACTGGGAAAACTATGTCACTGAAGTACTATCTACTGATCACCCACACTTGGATTTGTCCATAATATCTGAGTATGTGAAGTCCTTTGTGCATAAAGATCCGTCCTTGAAAGTTGAATTCATACAGGATCTCATCTCCAAGCAATTTTATTTCGATGTTCCGTATCGAAGAGCATGGTATGCCAAGGAGAAAGCTATAGCTGAAATATTTGGGGATTAAGAGAGTTCTTACAGCAGACTTCCGCACTTCATGCAAGCACTCCAACAGTCAAACCCAGGAACCGTTGTTGTATGGAAACATAAAGCGCTGGTGGATGGTGTTTACTTCAGTAACATGGAAGTGTTTGAACGAGTGTTTTGGGCCTTCGGTCCTTGTATCGATGGTTTTAAACATTGTATGCCTGTTATCTGTATCGATGGGACGCACTTGTATGGGAAGTATAAAGGAACACTGTTCGTTGCTACAAGTGTGGATGCAAGCTTCCAAGTATTTTCGCTAGCATTTGCGTTGGTTGAAGGGGAAAACACTTTCAACTGGTCTTGGTTTCTAGGCTGCATTCGGGTTCACGTCACGCAACGAGATGGCCTCTGTGTTATATCTGATCGACATGCTGGGATCATTGCAGCAATGAATGATCCTAACGTTGGATTCACCGAGCCGTGAGCCTACCACAGGTTTTGTGTTCGGCACATGGCTTCTAACTTGAAGACTCACGTACGAAGCAACGACATGAGAGATATGTTCAAGGCTGCTGCTTATCAAAAGTAAGAAAAAAAACTTCAAGCTGATCTGTGTTCGATCGGTGAGGCATGTACCAAGGCCATGGAGTATATTGTTGAAGTCCCGTTTCCTATGTGGTCTCTGTTTCACGATGCTCGTCGCAGATATGGGATATGTAGTACAAACTTCTCTGAAACATTTAACAATGTGTTGAAGGGATCTCGGTTTCTACCGATCATGTCCCTTGTCGAGTTAACTTTCCACAGAGTTAACAGGTATTTCACTTTAAGAAGAGAATCTTCTGAGGCTAGGTCTGAACAGGGACTTGCATACCCCCCCCCCCAAGGTCACTGCCATTCTAGAGAAGAACACCGCAAAAGCCAGATATCACAGATTGGATGCGTATAACCGCCGACTGCGTATTTACCAAGTTACAACAGAAAGGGGAGAGCGACTTGGTAGAAAAGGAGGCCATAAACATACTGTTAACTTTCATTTGAGAACGTGTACATGCAACAAACCACGGATATTCCACCTCCCATGTTCTCATGTTCTAGCCGTCTGTGCGACGTATTGACTATCAGAGCGGCCATGGGTGGACCCTGTGTTGCAATCGGAGGCCTATACGAACACCTATGCACCACAGTTTTGGCCTATCCCCTGTGAGTCGACCTAGACACAGTACATCGGCCTTATCTAATTCCGGACGGCAGCATGGTACGAGGAAAAGGTCGGCCAAAGTCAAAGCGCATACGCAATGAAATGGATGAGACTAACCGGCCCCCGAGTAAATGCAGCCGTTGTCACCAGTAGGGTCACAACCGGACAACGTGTCCATCTAGACCCCCCGGGACCTAAGTTTGTATTTTTAATTTGATGTAGTAGAATAGTAGATTTATTTTGTATCTGACTTTGTAATGTTTGTAACATTTGAAACATTTGGATCATTTCTATGTTGAAGTTTGTCATTTGAAATTTTCCGTTGTTGCCTTTAACTCGTCCAACTCATGTTTAATTGTTGATCCAGTAATTGTGTTGGTAATTGTGTATAACGTTGTTAATGAACAGATATCATGGACGGAGAAGATTAGACACCCGGACTTGTTGACCCTTTTGTCCTGACACTGCAGGACAAACATCAAAGTGTTGACATATGGAACCAGTCAGTAATATTTCATTTGTCAGTTCATGTACTTATGCATGTTAAATTGATATACTATCTAATATTTCATTTCCCATGGTTAGTTCAACTCCACCAAATTACTGGTCACTATAATCTAATATTGTTGCTGTCGAGTTTTATAGGCCAAACCAAACTTTTCATTTATGTATGAAATATATAACTAGAGGGGACTGATGAAAATATTAAATATGGCCAAACATCTAGTTCAGACTTTAGAGTATTCTTAGCTGATCAGTATTATAGTTGTGTTACATTCAGAAAGCAAGCTACCGAGATGGCATATATTACAACTTACAAGAACAAATCAGTTGCTGCACCTAAGGTCTACCATAGTCACTGAACATGAGATGCTGAATTTCCCATAATACAAAGTTTACATACAGTCCACATTTTAGTAGTTAGACACATATGGTTACACTAACCCAGCACATCCATAGCATAAACAATGGGCAAGGTACGATTATTTCATTGGACAGAACAATAGCCTTCTTGCCCTTCGTAATCTTATTATTCAGCATCATCTTCCACAGTATTGACTCGCTCACACTCGTCAATCCACTCACTGTATCTGTAAATACAAAAGTAATGTAAAGATAAAGAGATATAGTAGAAAGTAGAACTCACAAGATATTGTGTAAGTCAGACTTACATGTCAACCGGTTCGGTCAGAGCTGCAGACACCAAAAGGAAAGGGACAAAAAATAATATCAGATAAACTCAAATCCTCAGATTATACACAGAATAGTATATGAAAATTGAATCCAAATTTTGCAATGGACAGCAATAACATCAGCTTTAATATGCCAATTTAACAGGCAAAACATCAACCTCATTTACCATAGCAGGGAAGGAAAGTGAGGATAGAGAAATAGAGCAAGTAGAGGAAGATTGTGGGTAGATTCCGTGATAAGCAGCATAACAGGTTTGGTTTTTTTTTTTTTTTTTCTTTTGGGTGGACAATCAACTAATCTACCAACATGAGGCCAGATAAAGAATTATTCAGATACCAGTTCCACTAGGTAAAATTTTATTCATTGATCATCAAATCATAATCATCCCAATGACAGGAAAATCTCCCTACTATGGAAAAAGAAATTGGGTTTCATAAAGTAATAATAATAATAAAATTAAAATTGAAAAAAAAAACTACCAAACAAACAAACAATTTACAAACCCACTAAGATGTCCAGAATTAATACTAGCTGGAATATGACCTTATTCATCATTTCAAAATGAACCCTATGACATGCAAAATTCTCTAATTTAATCAAGGTTGCATGTAATTAAATTATGCAAAGCCAGACAGCATGTACAGCACAATGTATAAAAAAGCTCAAGGCTCACTGAAGCGAGAGGGGTTCTGCAGCGCCTAGGTGCGCCTTTGAAGTGAGGCACACTATATGGCCAGTTAAAAAAAAATTGGCTGAAGTTTGGTTCAGGTGCGCTTCGGGTGTGCCTCGTGCGCTTTTGGTGCGCGCTTTGTGCGCCTAACCAAAAACGCCTCGCCTGGACCAAGTTAAGTGCATATCCTTTATCACCTTGCGCCTCAGCGCCTAGGCGCGCTTTTTAATACACTGGTAGAGCGAGTTGATGATCGATTGGTAAGGGTCAGAAAAGTACCTGTAATTGAAGTGCTGAAGCTCTCTTGACAGATCCTGCATTGGGCTTCGCCTATCAAGTTCTTCATATCACTAGAAATCAAGTAAAGTAATACAATGTCAGCTCAAAATTTAGCCCAATTACACTGCTTTTATATGAAATATTCTTCATGAATAAAGTAACATCTAAACAACACAAAGAAGAAAGAAATAGTCATGGACTCGTGGTAAGGCTACAACTTAGAACATAGCTGTGTCACATTCACTATTCACTCTCCCCTTCATGTTAATTTCATTATTTCCTCTAGGCAGGGTTTTAATTGCTTAAAAAGTGATATCATTTCAACCTAGTTCGGTGAAAAGATGTGCTAGATTTATTAAACCCTATTCGATAAAGATGTTTTTGTTGATTGGATAAGGAGGATGAAAATGGGTTTGCTGAAGTTTGGAAAAGGGCTCGGCTCTGTAGGCGATTTGGTGGTGCATTTGGAAGGAAACAAACTAACAGATCTTTCAAGATTATAGTTTCAGTTTGTGAGCTTTTGTTTAGCTGGGGTCAAATTTTAACTCGAGAGCAATTCAAAACTGTCGTATAGTAAGTAGATGGGTGTTAACATGTCAAACTATCAACTTCTTGGGTCTTATAGTTCTATCCTTTACTACTTCCTACAAAGATACTCCTCCATTTTGGACTAAGACAAAAAATTAATCTGTTATCTAATGAAGCCTAATGCAACTTTATGGGTGTTTGTTGGAACATAGGAAGTTAGGAAGTACCGTTTCCTAGGATATTTGTTTGCCCATAGATATACTCAAATACATTTCCAAGGAAGTATACTAATTTGCCTCATTCATTGCTGATTTGCTACTTTCCTCGGATACTTTATAGACTTAGGTGCATGTCCGAAGTGACATACTTGGCTTTTTAAAAAAAATTCTTATTAGCCAAAGTGAAGTGTTAAGTGTCCATACCCATGTAAGCATGTCAAGGATTTTGCACAGGCATTTGATGTAAAATGAAGAGTTTGAGCAACATAGAAAATCCAACTACACACAGGAAGTTCCACTTACCTCTTTCTTCAATTTGTGTAAAGTAGAACTTAGATAGTATAAATTCCTATATATTTTCCATCCAAACACCTCAATACCTCATATTTCCACTTCCTAGGAAATTCAACTTCTCATATTTTCCATGTCACCCAAACAAGCACTTACACAGTTATACCTCATTGAACAACTGGACTTAATCAGCAAATCTAACTTCCCCTTTATATTCATGAACTCAAACAGAAAAACATAAGTCAGATGCAAAGTATACTTACATGCGGCATTCTACACTGGTCCCATGATTGCAGAAGGGGCAGCTAAAAACAGTATCAAGTTTGAGGCTCTTCTTTGGAGGAGGCTTAGCTCTTGACTTTCTCTTCCCCATATCGTGAGGCTAACAACACTGGAAAAAGAACAGTCAAGACAAGACACATAACAAGAGTAATTGACAATATATATATATATATATATATATATATATATATATATATATATATATATATATATATATATATATATATATATATATATATATATATATTAACATCTTAAAACCCCTTTATGAAAGAAATGCATGAACTTTGTACTCCATTAAACTGACTGACTGAGTGAATCGCAGATTAGAAAACACATAAATGAAAAGTATGTCCCATGTGGCCAATCATACACAATAGTACAATACAACCGTCAAACAAGACCAAGAAAGCAATAAATGCTACAGAAACAGAAAACCCATAGAATGTGCATGGGGGGGGGGGGGGGTGGACACACACACACTAGATTATACAAGAAATATAATACACCAGATATCAGAAAAGTTAATGAACTGACATAGTATGACACTATGGCATGGCTGGACAAGTGGACAGAGAGCACCCAGGTATGATGAACTACAAGAATGAGATTGGCTCATTCTCATGGCACACAGAAGATTGATGACCATTGGATACCATTACCAAGAGCAATAGTCTCCAAATTATGCAAACCGGTGATGTAATAAAGCTTTAATAACATCAATAATACTTCGTAGGTGATACCAATCACCATTTTAGTCATTATCATCAACCTTAGCTTATCATAAAATACTTGGAGAGCTTGTTCAGGTGACAAATTGAATCAATAAATCCAATGCAGAATTCATCCATGAGAAAATTTTTAGTAAATCTAGTCCATCTACAGCTTTTATAACTCAAAACATTGTTCCACTTGCTCCACACTAAAGGTTTGAATTATAAAGAGGTTGGTGCTTATAAATAGCCTTTTTGAAAGACTGGTAGATAGTATATAATTTCTTATGTAGGAAATTGTAAAGCTAAATCATTCAAAGCAACTGAAGAAAATAAGAAGTAATTTTTCGGTCTTTGCTTTCACACAATCTTTTTTCGATAACATTTCCATTAAAGCACAATCTTTTGGATGGACTGGATGACAGTTATATTGAGAAGAAAGCAACACAAAATAGTTACTCCCTCTGTTTCCATATGTTAGTCCCATATGGAATCAATCACGTAAAATAAGAAAAGAAGAATCTTAAGAATCTAGCATTAAATTACATTCCAGCTCATTATTAATTTTGCTTTATTCAATTTTCTGATTTTTTTTTTTGGGAAAGTACATACCATAATTGCGGCGAGCATGTGACTTAGCTAGGATTTTATTGCCATGTCATCAACCCACTATCATTACAATTAACCAATCAAATGTAACATTTCATAAGCTTTAACCAATCTGATTTAAATAAAAATCATGAAAATTAAAATACAACTTTTATTTTTTGCAGTTGGTCTTTTCTACGCATTTTAAGGTTTCAGAAATTAAAAATAAAATAAAAAATAAAAAAAAAAAACCAAGCAAATATCTTTTAAAAAAAATTTGAAAAAAAATGAATCGTGAAAAATAACAAGCATTACACATTGATTGTTGCCAAAATTTTACAGTTGGATTTCATCCTAATCAATTCAAAGGAATATGAACCCCGTCATACCAAGAAAAGTTGGGGATGGGAAATCTGATTGGTTAAAGATATGGAGAATTATGAAAATCAAAATGACCGGATTCTGCAAATTTTTGCTCAGAATTATTCATGCCCTTCATGGTTGTAATTTGAGAAGAGAAAAACGACGAAGAACGACGTTAATAACAGATCTACGCCAAACTGACTCAACATAGAACAATCAAGACAAGGTTTTAGTCTTAAAAGACCATTAAAGTGACAGAAAACACAATTTTGTTGATAATCAACAAATCATAAGTCGAATAAGTACCAGATATATAAGCTTATGAGGAGAGAGAAAGTTAAGGTTTCACAAAATAAACATAGGGCTTTGTCAAATCTGTTCTCACTGACCAAAGTCGAAGAACTAAGGAGAATTATGAAGGATTAGCCTTGAAATTGAGAGAGAAAACTAGGGTTCTTCATGTACCATGGAAGACCATTGAGAGGTTGAAGAAAGAGGAGAGTGGAAGAATCCGGAACTGAAAGAAGCCATAAAAGAATTCAATGAATGAAGTTATGTCAGTGGAAATCTAGGAAAAAAATCCAAATAGAATCAAGGATGATTGGGAATTTTAATGGGACAATGAGGGTATAATAGGAAATAAAAATAGGTTAAAAAAGATATATTCAATATGGGTAGATCTTTTTAAAACGCCAAAAATAGTATATGGGACTAACATATAGAAACGGAGGTAGTAGAAAGATGGTAATTGGAAAGTGATGCAACAATTCTGACACTATTAGTTGAGATTGTGCTAGGAGGACAAGAAGAAAAGGTTAGTTGGTTACAGAGCTCATTGCTTAACATTAAAAGTACATTTAAAATTAGGGAATAAGCATAAAACTTCTAGTTACATCGTAAACTCATAAATTCCAACCTTACTTCTAATGTCTCAAACTCTCATAAAGTACTCATTTCAAAACAAAAGGCAAATATCATTCTAGGAACCCCCATTCTAGGGAAAAAACAAAAAAGGGAAGTAAGACAATGTCCTCTAAAAGGAGTACTATTGGAAGGAATTTCAGATATTGTGAAGTCTTTGTGCATGCCTTCAAAAGTTCAATTCACAGGATTGTCCTCAGTATTGGAATAATTCTCTCAACTGAAAAACTAAAGGAAACAGCAACATTTTAAAGCTACGAGAATGCTTGCAACCTAATATAACAAACACTGGATTTTGTTTGAGATTTGTTAAAGTTATGGAGTATATTTTAATTTCGTTTGAAGTTTGATTTATTTATTTTTATGTTTGTTTTATCTATTTTTATGCATGTAAAATTTGCTCTGATTTGATTTTTTTCCTCTGATTTGTAAATTTGTTCTGATTTGATGACAAAAGGTAGGATTTAAGATGTTTAGTGAGCTCAGAACTCCATTTTAAGATGTCGTGGGAATTTATAGTAATACTTTTTTCTGTTAACTTTTTTTCGATAGAATTTGTCATTGATGATTATATATAGATAAGTTGTTCAAAGAATATCGTACTGTACAAAAAATCTATTTTGCCATTAAAAAAACCCCACAATTAAAGAACTCGGATATAGGATATCCGACTTATCTGATCCGAAAATTTCGGATATCCGGAAATCCAGTCTCAGGCCTAGTTCAAATTACACTATCAAAGTAATAATTAATCAATCCAATATATTTCTTCACTATATGAAGTAATTGCTTGGTTTGAGCTTCAATTGATTGACTTGCATCAATTGTTGGAGTAAATAGCGTAAACACAATTAGGTAATTCAAAATTTCAAGAAACAAATCAGCTAAAACACAAACATACATTTCAAAATGTCAACAAACACTGCAATTCCGAAACCCACCTTCTGCAACAGCCATTAATCAAGACCAAAACTTTATTACACTTCATTAACCCAATCACTTCCCATACTTAAAAATCTCAAAAACCTTTCTGTTCTCAACATGTTCTTCAATCAAGCTGCAATCTCCAATTAAATCATATAAACTTACAATAGCTGATATCGAATCTCCCAAACTACATTGCTTAACATGGCATCAAAATCAAACCAACCAAAACATACAATCAATCAACAAAGGCTCAACCCGAATCCAATCATACACTATCAAGAACAACAATCCAAAATCACCCTTTAAACAGCCCCTAAACTCAATAAACAAGTCTTAAGCATCACTAAACTTAACACTAATAATCAAAATCCACAAACCATCACAAATCTCAAAATTCCAGACAAATAAAATTGAGTTAATCAATGCAATCAAACCTGAAATTGAGTCATAATAAGGTAAGACCCGAGCTTCTTCCTAGACTCCCCACCAGGCAAACTCCCGGCAGAAAGCGAAAGCGATTTGATAATCGGCAAAAAAATACCCCCAGCTCTAGCCGTAGACCCGAAACCACCCTCCTTCCAGAGCCACCCCCTCCCCCTGCACCACCACCGAAACCGCCCAAAACTTGAATTCCCCAACCCGAAACCACCCTAAACTCCCATCCCTTTCCCCACCCGAAACCCCCACCCCTTTCCCTGACCTGAAACCGCCGTAGACTCGAAACCCCTACCCCTGAAACCATTCCCCCACCCCTCGGAATTTGTGAATTTGTGTTTTTCCTATGAATAAAATAAATAAACTACAATTCACAAATTAGCAACCAAAATTGACTCAATTATCAAACTAGACTCCAAAAATTACGTTAAATTCTTCGAGTATCTATAACCAATATTTCAATTATCCAACTTCGAAGAACCCTAAATTGAGTATATATTGACAATTAAAGACACGATTAACACAAGATTGTCAAAATTAATATTAGATGATTAAAGAAAAAGAAGCATCTAACCTTAGAGACTGCTTCAATGGAGGAGAGAAAGCTCAGAAGCCGCTTCAATGGAGAATTTCGAGTACGCTAGGAGTGAGAGAGGAAGGATTACAGCAAGAAATAGATCTAAAGGAGTACAGAGAGAGGAAGGACTACGGCGTGATTCGTGAAATTTTTTTATTTTTTTTTATTTTTAATAAAATAATAGGTTGTCCTAGGATCACTGTAAATACACGTGGGTCCACCACTGTCAACAAACACTGCAATTTCGATCACTTACAACCATACTCTTCGCAATGCGAACACAAACAAAGAAAAAATTGAACAAATTGGAGAAATACTGATCATAAATTACCAAAAAAAAAAAAAAAAAATTGAAAGAAAATAGAGAGAACTTACAAGTTGAAAAATTGGAGGAGAGAGAATTGCCGGAGATTGAAATTGAGATCTAGAGATTGAGATTGATAGAAAGCAGATCCAGAATTACGGTGCCGGAGAAATGGGGAATTGGTGAAGGAGGAGAGAGAAAATAGAGAAATTGATGGAAAAAAGGGTGTGAAATTACCCGAGATTAAACGTCGGAGAGATTGGTGACGACTGACGAGTTGCAACGAGATCTAATTTAGAACCTAAAACGTGATATGAACTCTAGGATGTAAAAGGCGTAAGGTGGGTAAAGAGTCACATGACTCGGGTGATCTCGTTAATTTGGTAAGAGTCTTACGAGGTACCCTCGTGTTGTCTTATTTTGGGTCGTCTCTAAATGATGGTTTTTTTAAAAAAAAAAATCGACATTAATCTTGATTAATTAAAGTCATGCAACATTTATAATTGATACAATACAAAATTAAACATCTATAATTGATAATTAACAATAAAGAAAATAGTTTATACAAAATTAAACAAGAATTAATCGAAGAAGGGTTAAGAATTCAAATACATAGATATAACAATTCGGCTTGTGGTAACTTTGAGGTTGTCTTTCAAAGGAAGTTCAAAAACTTTGTTTTTCAAAGTAGATCAAAAACTCTTTACAAATTCTTCTCAAATAGAGAAACGATTATTATAACCTATAAAACAAACAAAAAACCAAATTTTTTTTTTTTTGAAAGAAACAAATATTGGAACTTTTCACTGGCAAAATCGATGAAAGCCTATTTGAAAATCAACAGTAGAGGCTAGGGTTTAGAATAAAGAAGAAAGGAGAGAGGCTTAGGGTTTAAAATATTTTCAGTATGATTTCATTTTCATTTGAATTAATGTGAACAGAACATAAGGAGTATTATATTTGATTAGACATGAATCATATGATCAGTCTTACTTTTATTTGATGTTTACATTTGATTGAACTTAATCACCCTGTTTATTTAATCTTGATTAGCCTTGAAAAATAATTTTATATGGTAAAAAAAAAAAAAAAATGCACCTTTTTATATGACTAACAATTACTCTTTACCTTGTTTACTAAACCTCTCAAAAAAAATACTAAATACTTTCTCCGTTCTTTTTTACTTGACCTGTTTCTTTTATCACGCTTGCTGATGCATAACTTTAACCATCAATAACTTTACTTTTCTATAAGTAAAAATTATAAAAGTTATAAATTGTGATAATACTTATTGAGACGATTCTAACAAGATCTCACATGAATATTTTATTCCTTTCATATAATTCACAAAATACGGTCAAAGGAGGAGTGGGGAATAGTGTAAAAGTCAAAACGGATCAAGTAAAAAAGAATGGAGGAAATACTTAATAAATACCTAACTACTTTGTACGAAGTATAACTCTTGATAAAGTGAAAAGTTAGATTTGAGACAAGTACTATGAGAAAGGGAATGCACATAAATAAAAATGGACATTGGGTAAAAAATAAGACGAATTTGTTTTTTGGTTGTTGATGAGAATTCATAAGGATTAAATAAGGAATTTACATATAGACCATTGTAATTATCTTTCCCCTCTCTTCTTCAATCTATGAAGTGATTAATACTCCCTCCGTTTAATATTGTTATTCCTACTTTGACCCATTTTGTCTCACAAAAAGATTCGAAGTAGGATGAACTTTTACAACAGCCTATTTTGTTTGTGGGGATGATTGATGAGATAAGGATTTAAAATCCCTCGTGTCCCATTATCCCTTGTTTGTTTGAGAGGATACAAGTTTTATCTCATATAAAAGGGATTGGGGATAAAATATGTACTTATCCCTCTATTTCTATAAGAAGGAGGGGGGCAGGTATAAGGTTTGAGGATAAAAATTGAAAGGTAAAAGACAAATTTACTCTTAATGAAGGGAAGAAAGAGGAGAGATGAGATAGGAGAAAGGTTAGTAAGGATTGTTAAGTAATTTTACTACTTATCCCAATTTCATTCCCAAATCATACCAAACAATGGATAACATAATTTTTATCCTTATCCCACCAAAAAAATCATTATCCTCATTATCTCTATCCCTGTTGTCAAACGCCCTGTTTAAAACAGATCGAGTGACAATTTAATTTGTTTGAATAATATGTAAGACACTTGTTGATTTGTGTCAGCTTTGCTTATTTTATTTCTCCTCAATTTAATTTTCTTTCTATTATGGTCTATCCTCTCTCAATTCAACTTCATTTTCCTCTATCTATTGCCCATGTGGCCATGTGTTAGAACATTAGACGATCCAGTGCCACCCTATTCTCTATTACTCTAGTCACCCTCACCTTTGTTTCATTCAAATGGTTGTTAGTTTCATCACTCGATTCCCCATAGAACAAATGCTACTTTTAATGTTTGAACCCATTGTTGGAAATACTAATGCAATCGGATGATTAGATTGCAACTAATACGATCCTTACTCGTGCCCGGTAGGGCGAGTTGTGCCGACCGGGCAAATTGACTACAGGAATGTGGCGGGTTCTCGCGCCTTGCCGGGCGGTGGTTCACCCGACCGGACGGTGGGACATCAAGATTTGTGACCTGGGAGGTTGCCCTCGCGCCCGATCGGGTGGTGGGTGGCCCGACCAGGCACACCTGGGCCACCCACCACTTTTTCGGAAGTCAGTTTGTATGATTTGTTTCCTATTTTTAGAGACATATATATATGTATTACGAGTATCACTTTTATCATTGATTCATAATTCAATATTATTGAACCCTAAACACATAAACACAAACCTACCCTTTTGAGATCTGAACAGTTCTTGAGCAATTCCAACCTTTGAATTCAGGTACACGAATTATAGAGGTCATTGTGTAAAACTTGGGGGGCGTGCGTCACTAGGATACCTGTACAAGTGGTGACGCATTTCGCTTCTAAATCAGTGGGTTCCAAACTACAGCACAACCGAAGGAGAATAGGTCTTTGAATTCAAATATGGCGAATTTGTTCCAAGGAAGTTCTTAATTTGGCTAATGTTTTTCATGAAATCAACAGGTATTTTTCTAACAGCCATGACCACGTGTTATGATACCAATCCAATTACACAACTTATAATACCTCATTCAAAACAAATAATATACGAAGTACTTACTAATTTCAATAATCTAATGCTCAGCAGTGGCGGAGCCAGGATTTATAATTCAGGGGGACAAATTTTGGAGGTTAAAGTTTCGGCAAAAATCTCAAGAAAAAAATTGATCACCTAAATTGTTTAATATTTATTTGAAATCACATATGCCAATTATTTCTATATGGCAAAAGAGGAATAAAAAAGTTTTATTGTATATTAAGAAAATTATCCAACAAAAATGAATAAATTTATGTTTGTAAATCCCGTTATGTAATCACATAATTGATATATACGAATTAATTACCTTATCATAAAGTCAAATAATTATCATAAAGTCAAATAATTATCGTTAGAACAAATTGATGGTAGATATGAAGGGTCTGGGTTTGAGTTACATTCGAAAAAATAAACTCAACTTTCTCAAATCAATCATATTATTACATATGTATTTCGTATGTATTAATAAAAGTTAAAACACAGTTACAAACAATTAATTAATAGTAATCTATTTATTAGAAATGTAAAAAAAATAGAGTTTAAGCACATAATAAAATTAAAAATCCTAAAACAAGAAATAGGAAATGAAAAATCAAATTAAAAAGACTATTGAAAATTAGAGTAATCAAAAAACAAGTAGGGGAAAAAAAACAAAAAAGCTGAAAAATAGTAGAGTAGGGAATCGAACCTAAGACCAAGACACAGCCTTACTAAGAACTCAACCACCAAACCATATTCAATATTGTGATATTTACTGTAAGTATATGATATTTATAGCCTTTTACTGTATTTTCTTGATTTTTTTTTTTTAAAAAAAAAAACTTTTTTTTCGAAAATGGGGGGACAACTGTCCCCCCTTGTTCTAATGTGGCTCCGCCACTGATGCTCAGCTTATATTTTTTCAACTAGTCAAAAAGATGTTGGCTACAAAATATTACTTATTTCCCCTGTTGGTTACTATAGCACTTTTAGTATAACGAATGATGCCAAAAGTAGTTGAGCATTCCACGGTACAACTAGTAATAGGGCAATCTTATTACAGCAGATTTTATCAGGATTCAGCATGGAGACGGTCATTTACTACCATCTCTAATGACAAGATCTAAAACCGCCGTTGAATGAAAATATGAAGCAAGTGTATTGCAGAATTCATAACTTGTAACGTTGTAACACTGGTAATTATTACAAGTTACAACATTGCCTACACAGTACTTGTCTTTTCGAGCATGTAAAAAACCTCAGTTAACTGTTGGATAGCATCATACCGGAAACCAATAAGAACAAATTGAGGGAAAAGGAGGACATTGAATGCAGATCTAAACTCTTCTTGTCAATGACAACATCACAATTTTCTGCCGAAACAAAATAAGAAAATTTCATCATTGTACTTGGCTTTTATCCTGAATTACCATTCCTCAACTGATAAGTAAGTTATCTCTGAATCATTGTTGGAGAAATTTTAAGAGGGCTTCAAACTAATCTAACACTTTTGCATCTGATACGTACAAAAAGAATATACAGCCCCTATGCATGCTAATCATGACGTTCAACCAGGTATAAGTTCTCTAGTATGCATTTACCTAGGCCTTAGCACTGGAACCAGGCCCTTGATACTGATAATAATGTGGGGCAACCTCTACAAGCCATGTAGGATCTATTGTCACAACATTGCGCATGTATCGACGATCAGTCGAGACGAGAGAATAGTATACAACCCACTTTGGGTTGACTCTGCAAGCAGACAGTATAAAGTTTTAGCACCTTAAAAAAAACAGTTTGTATGGACACACACAAACAAAAGCATAGCAAACTTGGGATAAATCACTATTATAGAACCAAGAACTTTTGTAATTAACAGCTATCAACCTTAAGTTTGAGCAGCATATGAGAAAATTAAAATAAATTGGACAGAGGATAGATGTCAGGAAGCACAGATGCCAAGCAAATAGAAAAGATCAAAGAAAACGAACTTGGTCCTGATATCAGGGATCTACAGCAATAGGGATGTCCAAGAATATGAACAGTCAAAGAGAACCCCCCCCCCCCCCCCCCCTCTCTTTTCTTAATTTTGGAACATAAGATGGGGGGGGGGATATAGAGAGACCCAGTAATGTCATTAAAAGTTGAGCACCCTGTAGTCCACAAAGATCAAATAAAATGATCTTTGGCTACCAAATACCTAACACGTAAACAGATACCAAAAATTTCTATGTGCCTTCAAGTTTTCATCTCCCTCTGTACTGAATAAATTCTCTCCACCTTTGAAATGAATAATTAAATTAGGAGTGGCAATGACAGCAATGTGAGTAGTGCACTTTTCCATACACTTTTCCCTTTGGAAAATCATCAACCTCTTTTAAAATTCAATCATAGAAGGGGGATATATGAAAAAAATTAGAACATTATTGCCTTGAAAGTGAAAGAGGAACTTCTTTTCGGATTAATGTAAAATAGTAATGGAGTTCATTTTGGGATGGAGGTTTAATTTTTACAAATTCCAAGACATGCTAAGGTCAAAATTCACAGCATCACAAAGTTTTGCAGTCTTAAAGCAAAGAACTTGCAATATCACATTACTTCAACACAGTAGTATAACTGAACAATAAGAGCCAAAATGAAAGCAATAATGGGGGAAGAACAAGTTTTTCACCAACCTGAACAAAACAGATGAAGGGTGGATATAAACATCCTGAGAAGTACGGACAGTCTTGTATTTTCCTTCATGACTGTAAGTCTGATAATAATTATAAAATAAAATATTGTGAGAAACTTAAATTAAAAATAATTTTCAGAAGTTTCCAGAGCAACAGTATCAACTTTTCCAAAAGGCTTTTCAAAAAATATTGTTACACTCACTTCCAGATGACAAGCATTAGCAAAAAATCCAGCAGTAATTGCCTTTCTTACAACCTGCAAGTCATATATCAAGAGTTATGATCAGAGTTTAAGCTACAGTATAGTGTGAGTCACTAAAAGCCGTATATAGCTTAGAAAAAGCAAAGACGTTCCAAGACTCCAAGTTAGAGGTTACAGATATGAGGATGTCATAAAGGGTGTATGTTCACGCGACGAGCAGATGGCATTAAGAATCAGATTAAGCAAGAAAACCAACAGAGATAAAAAGGTGACAGCCACATGGAGATAGTTTCACGTGAATGTATTTGACAAACCATAAAAAAAGGTAAAGAAGCAGCTCAGAATATTGCCCGACACTAAAATTTCACAAAATCCTTACTGTTTCAGCATAATCTTTATATTGGAATAGTATGCCCCGACTTGTGTTGGGTTTGGTAGTTGAAGGGAGTGATAAGGTGGTAGATGCAATTATGCAAACTAGTTAGAGAGAAGTGAGGCTTAAAGCTTGTTTGGTATGACGGATTTGATGGCAAGATATGGAATCACAAAAGTATTTATGTTATAGGTTTAGTTTGATGGGTATAGTAATATTTTTCCTTACTTGAGGGTAGTAGCTTCCATCCATCAGTTACCCTCTTTACTTTCCCTCCCACTCTCTCGTTTGATTCAAATCCAATTCATAGTAATACCAAAAGATCTATTTAAAAAATTATTATCATTACCCTACTCCTCTCTCATTCAATTTCATCATAGTCCATTTCCTCCAATCTTACCAAATGCACCCTACATAACTGCTCTACTTGATAGTGGGTATGGCATATATGACCCCATTTGATGTATGCCTCGGCAATCAAAAGAAAGAAAAAGGATGTAGATGTAAATACAAATGAGGGAAGCTAGGCTGGTGAGCTGCTTTACTATATGAAATTTTGTAATAGGCATATGCCCAATTTATTGTTTGCTAAAAAAGAGAAATAGAGGTAGATATGAAACCAGCTAAGGAAATGTTGGTTGGTAAATAGCTCTACTTGATGTACAATAGTACATATTGAAAGTTATGCTCAAAGTTTAAATTAGTGATCCTTAAGCCTTAATTATAGGAACATGATTAGTTAATGCATATTATTCATGGGTATAAGTGGGTATTAGGATTCCTTGTTAACTTATGGATTAGAGGGCTATTCCCCTTTCTAGTTGCGGTGCCTATTTTTAGTTATCTAGTGTTTTATGTAGCCTATAAAAGGTTTTGATGTAGTCCATGATACATTATAATAGTGCTTTACTGCATCTGAATTTGCAAGTTTGGAGTGAAGCACTAGCCTGTAATTGTTACAATCACTAGTATATCGAATTAACTAAAACTAAAAACTCCAGACGCCAGATAACTACTAACCATCAAGAGGTTTTTCTTTTTTTCTTTTTTTTTTTTTACAGTAAAAGAAGATATTATATTTACCTGTATATCTCTGTCACAAGATTTTAATACTATACCCAGCCGCTGTGCCGTTCTTTTGAGTTGATCTCTGGTCTCTAGAACTTTTTTCTGCCAAAGACAAAATTTCCCAGAAAGAAGACAATCATAACTCAATTTTATAAAATTAACATAAATCTAAACTTAAAGGATCGCTTTTAAAATAATTGTTTACACCAACGATAGCTCACAGCCTCACAGGATAAAACAAAAACAAGAAAATAATGCACGATAAAAAGGAAGGGAAAAGGAGAAGGATTACATATGGAAGTTATTATATTGTAAACCCATATTCATGTTGCATTTTGTGGTCCCAAATGAACATATAGTTCAAAGATTACAAACATCTTTCATATGTTCAGAATTGCTGAACTATATGTGCATAATTTCTGGATTTTATGAACTCTATGTTCATTATCCTTGAACTATATGTTCAACAGAGACCAGGATGTGCCAGAACAAGGATATGATTTACATACATACTGAAGTAGTATCAACAAAACCAATAATATAATCTATAATCTGCTACAAAAATGACAAGGATCATTAAAGGCAACAAAGATGAATACAACGTACTAACCATAGCATGATAGTTAATAAAGTTCTTGTGACACCATTTTGATGATTTGCCGGACTGCAGAAATCCTTTGTACACATTTAGGAAAGTCACATGGTCACCCTGCAAAAGCATCATATTAAAAATTAACATGGCAACTGGAATTTTCTACATCTCAATCCTTGAATGATGTCAAATGGGAAGTTTAATGGTGGGTACAATTATACAGAAGAAACTATACCCATCCAAAATATGAGACACTTGTTCAAGGAATAGGCACTCGATCTTATCGGACTCTTTGAAATGGTGGGTAAAAGTTTATTTTCTTGATCCATCTTATAAAGAGAGATCAGAGACCAATTCTATCACAAATCAGTATGACTGACGAATTATTCACCATTGCCAAGAAAAAGCAACATGATAAAAATAATGATAATTTTTCACAAGGAGAATGAAGGGTGTCTGCATATACAGGTATAACAAAGCATTTCTACCCTCAATTGTTAAATGGCAAATTTTGGGATTGGGATTGGGATTGTGGAAAGAAAGTACCTATCATTTTACTAAGGCCTAAGCTACTGACCAGAGTGAAGTATTCTGAAAATTGTAATTCGTATATACTAAATTTAGCCATAGGAATTCATAACACACCTCAGCAGCAGCAAATCGGAGCTTGGCTTCATCTAGCTGCTTCTGTGCTCCCCTTACGGAGATCCAAATAGACTGCACATACTCTTAAATTTCAGTAAATCTTTCACAAAATAATATAAAAATTGATGCTATACTTTCAACATCATACACTGACTTGTTCTTGAAGTTGTCATAAAACCATAAGAAAGAGTGTGTTATGTGATCTTTTAAGACTTAGAAATGCCGTCAAAAGCACATGCCTATAAAGTGTTTTTAATCTAAACTTTACTTTAAAAATAAACAAATTCGGTCAATATTCTTTTCAAAGCACTTCCGAATACATGTAACGGCATGGAAATATCACTTTGTAGCAAGTGTAAGGTAATATAACTGTACATCTGACCTTCCAAATCCAAGCATTGCAACTTGCAAGAACCTTGTAAAGTAGGTTTCAGATTACAGACCAATTTATATTACATAAATGTAATAATTATACCCTAATCCTCCCACAAATTGTCCTATCCCCATCATTCTCAAAGGGAAAATATATTTTCAAAAGATAGAGTTTAAACTGGCAAACAGACACTGTGCCTAGTCAAATTTACTTATTTGCTCCCTTCAAGGATTAGTTTTGTGGGCTATAAATCCATGTGTAGCAACAGCCAATCCATAGAGAAAAAATTTTAATCATATACCTACTTCTTTATAAATAACAAATAAATTGCATAACAAAAGAATTCTAATGATAAAAAGGGGGAAGGATTAAACCTGTACAGAAAGAACAGATGCTATAGTAAGCATTTCCTCTGAACACCCTAGTTCATTAGACGCAAGCAAAGCTTTTGAAATCATGGGATCCTGTAATTTAAAGGATTTAGAAAATCATGCACAAAGAGATAAGCTGATAAAAGATAGATGAGCTTATCTGATTCATGGTTATTCAACATCAAAAGACAAGCATAAACAATTATGACTTGTCATCACGAGCTGCAGATAATGTAAAAAACAATCACTATAATGTTAGTGTTGGTTGAAGCATACACTCTTCATCCCTAACAAGGTTTCAACTATTCCTTTCTGAGATGTTTTAAATAGAAACAATTTATGTCAATTCCAAGTGTACTTGTCCTTATCTCTCTCCATCACATTTTGTATTGTCTCCATATTAGCACTTTCTCTTAATTATTCTCTCTATCACAACCAATCTTCTATTTGCATTTAACAAATAGTGTTAATCACTTAATCTACATGCCAATATCGTACGGTTTTTAATGACGATTCATGTTAGCCGACCCCAAATCATTTAGTGACTAAGGCTTTGTTGTTGTTGTTAATCTACATGCCAAACCAAAATGTGAAATAGTAAAATAATAAAAAGGAGTCACTTTCAACATTAAGCCATGATAATGCAATAGTTTAATAATAAAAAGGGCTGATGTTATCCAAAGTGTCCTTGTTCTTCAACCCTTACAGAGAGTTCTTGGAGGAATGAGGAAAAGAACACAAGAATGCAATCACATATATCACAAGGTCCAACCACAAGGTTTACTACACGAAAATAACTAAGTGTAACTGTGAATCTTATTGTTAGCAGAAATTCAGCACGCTGAGAACCATATTCACATAGGCATCTGAACCATCAGGGAAATGAGCCTTTTATAGCCTTTTTCTTCTCATGGATCATCCATTGCACATGACTACAGAAAAATGATGTCTGCTTTCTTATATGTAATATCATCTTACAGCTAGTTCGTAATTCGACTCGCCCAGCATTTTTAACGACCAAAGTTCCTAATTAGTAGGCCGGCAAGGATATGAGAATGTAAGGCTTTGGAAAACCTAAGAAACATGGAAATACTGCAGACTTCAGCATTCATCAACCTACTGTCCTACCATTGTCCAACATGTATCCACATACCAGACTACAATTTCTGTAAGGAGAAAATAGGAAACAACTGTAGCCAAAGTTACAAGCAACAATATCAACAAGAACCAATGCCTCCAACAAGGCTCATCCCTGGGCAAAGCAACTTTATTCTTGTGATACACAGGTAGGAAAGTAGCAAGAAACATCATCTTGAAAACACCAGCCACATTTTTTCATCTAATTAATCCTTTTATTCTTCTCTCTTTTTTCTAAACAGGGAAATATCCTGTTGTCCGGTTTGTGTCAATCACCCAAATCTATTACTTCTATAATTACTTTAATTTGTACCTTATATTCAACATATTACATAACAAAAAAGATTTTCCATCAGGCCAATGATGAATATGATACATCAGCAATGAATGCACAATTCTCTAATAATACTTCATTTACCAATCTGTACATTTTCCAGAAAACTTTGTCTTGTAGGTCCGATTTTATGATTTTTCTAGTGTGAAATCAAGTTCAATAGTCACTTTGACGCATAAAAAAGTTGTGGACTATTATGCTTGCCTTACTGATATCCTAATTGACAGGAACTGTCGCATAAATTATAAAGCCATGGCATGAAAGTACCAGTGGAATTTCAGCAACTTGGAATCCGGTAGGCGAAGTGAGCTTGGCATCATCATCAAGCACACCTAGAGAGTACAATACTTCAAGAGCTCTAATCATAGCTTCTGGTGATGGTGATGCGGGCCACCCAAAATTCAGGATATTATCAATTCCTAGAGCCTTCAACTGCACATATAGTGAACAAAAATGTTAGTAAAAATATTGTGCGTTAAAAAGGATAAAAAGCATAGTGTATATAGCATAATAGTAAACAAAATAGCAATGTTATTAATATAAAAAAACACAATTCATTCAACAGAAAAATAATTGAAACAGAATTACGGAATACGGGAACCAGGTTTCCACCATCAAGGGAAAACAAAAAAGAACAATCTTGCCAAACAACAAAGGGACACATTAGGAAATTTACTTGTTCAAACCCCCATTAGCCGTACCAATTTGTCAAGATAAGAAGGCAGGGAAGGAGGGACATAACACTGCTCTCCTTCCAATTTTACTTGAAAGGATTAACATTTGTGCTAGCATGAATGCGATTAACGACAATCAACAATAATAAAGAGCGAAAACAAGCAACAAAGAAAAGAAAGAATTTGCCATGGGAAGCCCAAACCGGGAGAAAAACTCACCAATCCACAATAGAGTAATCTTTGATGAAGAATAATGTAGTTTACAAGCTTTCAAAGCACCATGAAAGCTCCCACCCTAAATACACCCCTTCTCACACTTAAACCTAAGTGTTAGGGATTTTACATTTGAGGCTCTCTCGCTCTACATCTTTCCCTTCAACTCATTCTCATTATTACTCTAATACAATTACTAAACATGAGTATATATAGTGCAAGGAATATCAAAATAATCCTACGATCATAGATAAGCCACACCACTTAAATCGCAAAACCGTAGAAAACAACCTCAATTCAGCCAAACCTAGCTTGGTTCAGGCGAACCACCAACCAAATTTAGGCGAACCTTTTCCGTGACTTCAGAGTCACCTTCCCCTTTTCCCTTTGAGTTCGGTCGAACCTCCCACAGTTTGGGCAAACTTTCAGGCAGACAGCTCTTCGTAAAACGGCCATAACCTTCTCATTTCTTGTCCAAATCGGGCTTTAGACCATTCATTGGAAAGCTTTTGATACAAGCTATGATGTGGATTAAACCACAATAAGGGATACTAGCAATTAGGGTAAACCTAATTCAATAAAGTTTTGATCTTTTCGACTTAAACAAGAAGAAAAGCAACGTAATTTTTGATATTTTCGAAAGAAAATCAACATTTTGAAATTAATTCGATTCACTCGAACTAACTCACAATTTTCATGTTTTCATAAACTCCATCACTCTATTTTTTCTCATTAATGAAAACAAATACTTATAGGCTTGCATGATAGGATAAACAAAGTAACAAACCTAGAAGATAAAATTAAATCCTAACAAACTCTAATAATATCTAAAAAGATAAATATTCCTAATCTTTATCCTAAGTAAACCATACGAATACGAATAAATAAATCCTAAAGAAAATAAATCTAGAACCTTAAATTCTTGATGCTTGATCCGCATCATTCTCCCCCTCTTGAAAAAAAACTTGTCTCAAGTTTTCTCGAACCAAGAAATCATCTAAATCAAACGAACAAAACATGAAAAATATATTCTCTTGAAGATCATTGTTTCCACCTTTCCTGATTTTACCACCAATTCCAATTTTCAGTGTGGTTGCTTCCATATGCAAACAGTTAAAATAATTAGGAAAAGATAGATCATGAAAAACCAACTCTAGTTTTCTCTCAGAATTATGTTGTATAGCTTGGATCTTCTGTTCATCTTGATTTATTGCTTGGATTGCATCAATTAATGGATAAGACAAAGCTAAATCTAATTCATCATCTAGCACCTTAACTTCCTCTTCATCTTGCACAAACAGATTTGAAATATTATCAACCTTGTTCATAGAATTAGAGCCAACCACCTCCATCTTATGTGCTTTTGTTCTTTCGTACCCTTGCATCTAAACCAAAATTTCTAGTAGTGTTTGTGTAACTTGTTGCAATTGTTGATTCATTTTCAACATTATCTCCATGTGTTAAAAATTCTATTTGGTTGCCCATATTCAACAACAAATTGCAGAAGCAAAGTACACGTCCAATAGCAAGCAATCACATAATAGACTCAAAACTGACCCGTCTGGAAAAACGCTTCCAGTTTAATAGGAGACGTTCACCAAAAATTCTAAAATTTTTATGTGAAAACTAGACAAATAAACACCTAGATTCAAAAAAAAGAATCACCTTAAGCTTTTCTAACAAAGGAGAACGAAGCAAAACAATTCTGCTATGTTAATCGGACACGGCTAAAGTCACGAAGTGTCCGTGTCGACACAACACGGACATGGGACACGTATCCGACCCTTCACTGTGCACTCGGACACTTCCATTAAGAGTGAAAAGGAAAAAAGAGGAGAAACGTGAAAGAAAAACACATCTTGTTCGAAGACCACCATTGATATAGAGAAGATGGAGAGAAGAAGATTGTCATCTATTTAGAGAATTCACCGAAGAAAGAATTAAAATAAAAAAAAAAAAAATAGGGGTGGACGTGATGAAAAATTTAAAGCTTTTGTAATACATAAGATATTTATATAAATTTAAGTGACGTTTTGACGTGTCCCCGTACCCGTATCCAAATACCAGGAGTCCCCGGGTCCTAAAATTTTGGAACTTGCCGGATCGGACACTTGGACATGTGTCTGTGTCCAACACCCGTTCCCGAGTTCATGGAACATAGCAATTCTGCACTCAAATGAGTTGTTTTTTATCGTTTTTTCTTTTAAAAAGAAAATCGACTTAAACCAAAGCAATTAAGGTAAACCTAATTCAATAAAGTTTTGATCTTTTCCACTTAAACAAGAAGAAGAGCAACGTAAATTTTGATCTTTTCGAAAGAAAAGTAACGATTTAAAATTACTTCGATTCACTCAAACTAAATCACAATTTTCATGTTTTTATAAACTCCATCACTCAATTTTCTCATTAATGAAAACAAATACTTATAGGCTTGCATGATAGAATAAACAAAGTAACAAACCTAAAAGATAAAATTAAATCCTAACAAACTCTAATAATATCTACAAAGATAATTATTCCTAATCTTTATCCTAAGTAAACCATACGAATATGAATAAATAAATCCTAAAAAAAATAAATCAAGAACCTCCAATTTATATCATCTCAAAATCACTTCTAGATTTTGAGATATTACCATTTGAAGTCATTCCTTTGCCATCCATCATTGCTTAGTACCAAGCAATCAACCCATAGCTTATACTCCAAAGCTATGCATCCTTATACCTTGAACCGTTCTCCACACCTTCCAAACCTAACATTACTTTCATGTCCATCATTGAAATGGATTGATTGAGGGCATTTAACCTCCCAACTCCAAAATTGTGGATTTACGATCTGATACAAGGGGACTATCATGGGAATTTTATTACAGAACTAAGGCCCGTTCACTTCACCTTAAACAATAATATTCAGTAAAAATAATTTCATTTCAGTAAAAATAAGTTCACTTCAGCAACAATAAGTTCAACGGAGTAAAAATAAGTTCAGTTCAATAAAAATTAGTAACTTTAAAGAAGAAATATAACAGAAAGCAAAAATAATATCACTTCAGTAAAAATAATTCGAGATATTATGGTCATAATTTTTTAAAGAACCACACCAGTCATAGAAATTCTAGAATAGACCCGGTGCACAATAACTACCACCTAGTATATCATTTGAAATGTGATTATATCATACGAAATGTGATTATATCATTTGAAAAGTGATTATATCATCCTAATTATTTAAATGTATCATTCAAAAATTGAATTTATCATTAAAAAAAAGTATCAAATAGTAATTATATCATTCGAAAGATAATTATATCATTTGACTAAATTGTTTAAAATACGATTATATCATTCAAAATATGACTCACAACAAGATAATTATATCATCTAAGAAAATGATTATATCATCCAAAATGTGACTATTATTTGAGTGTGTCAAATTTTGGTTTTACAATAATTTATTGTACATTGGGTCCGTACAAGACCCGCTGCAACAGTCAAGCAATGAGTTTAATTAGGCAGGAAAGTACATCATTTATAAGCTCTAAGCTTCTATCATTTATTAAAATCCTTACTATAGAACCTATTCATTTCATTTTATCTAGCAAGACAAGCAAAAATAGGACCTCAAAATATACCAGCATCTTAGAAGCAAAAAGATTTTTGCAAAACATTAAAAGATGATGACTTGCCTGTATTACGCAGGAGACAAGGTTTGATCTCTGCATCTCAGGAATCCCCTCAGCTGGCATTTCATTTACATAATATTCCTCGGTATATAACCTGGGTTGAAGAAGAGAAAAGGGATAATACTATTGTAAGATTATTGATCTCTGATAAGCAACAGCATAACTTAGTGCTTGGTTATCAAAAAAATCTAGACTAGTAAGTAGTTAAAATTGTAGAACAATTAAACGATTTGCAATGAGATAATAAATCACTACTTTTTCTTTCTATCATAAAAACGAATTCCCCTTTGTTAAATGAGCTCCTAACATACTCCCTCTATCTTTTTATGATGTACCCACTTTCCAGGTATTTTTATTTGACGTAGCCACTTTTATACTATTTTATCAAACAAATTAACCTATCTTATGCTCACCCTCTTTTACTTCATTCGTCTTTTTCTTACACTAACCCACCTTATTACTATAGCTCTCTCTTACTTTATCCACCTTTTTCTTACATCCGCTCAACTCTTCTTGAAACAAGAATCTATAATACAGGTGTACATCAAAAGAAAACGGAGGGAGTATTATCTGTCCCTATACTGCAGAAAGATTCAGTAATTGAAATTGACCAATTTACTCCCGAACATGCTCCAGATAAATCAGCTCTTGATTCCTCTAAGACTGCATCTTATTATTTATAATAATTATTTAACACATGTGGATTGGAATGAGAGCCAGTTTTGGCTTTGGACAATGTGGTTGGTGCAAAGAATTTGGCCTTCAGAGGAGAGAGGCAGATTTTGCTTGGAAATTGGGCTGGTTACTTGATTGATATACAAGAATTCAGCATTTAGAAATGGGTTGGCTAATAATGAGTTTAAAACAAAAAATCTATAGCAATTAAATCTTTCCCAGATTTCTAAGGTTTGTCTATCACTTTTACCTACTCACTTTCATTAAAATGTTCCCAAAATTGAAAGTAAACTTTTTCTGAAGATGACGACTGTATATTTTCCAAGTAATTAGCACCATGCAGAAATCATACTATGTGGTTTTAACAATAGAAACTTAGAAAGGTTGAATGATTCTGAGTCAGAATGCAGTCCCCACGGTGAGCAAGGGAAAAGAAATGAAGTAACCCAAGGAAACCAAAATGTAATGTCCTTAGGCAAACAATTATGCAGGGGAGCTGAATCTCCCAATAGAAAGCAATAGTCACAGCAAAAAACTAAATCATGTATGTTAGATATTGTTACATGCTGATAAAGTCAGGAGAAAGGAATAAGTGTAAATAAAGAAGAAAAATTACCTGTAACATTTCCCTGGTCTCACTCTTCCAGCCCTACCTGTCCTTTGTCTTGCAGAAGCCTTTGATATGGGTGCCACCACCAAATTCTCAATATCTGATAGCTATATCACATAAAACCACCTTAGATAAAATAGCAAAGAAAACTAAGCTAAAAAAAAAAAAACACCGTTAACTTCCTTAAATACAATAGCCGATAACGGATACCCAAACACAACAAGTGAAATAATCATCGAAGAAAGTAAGAAAGCCCTCAATTCTCATACTTGGCAAGCAAAGTACTCCATAATAAAGTGTGAAACTTAGGAAAAAGATAAAATTGACAATTACCGGATCATAAAAACGCTGTTTTGAGAAGCCACTATCAACAACATAGACTATGCCCTGCAAAATACATGTTTTAGATAAGGCATTACAAAGCAGCAGCAACTTCTCATATTACATTGATACACACTATTACCTCCAAAGTCAATGATGTCTCTGCAATATTTGTCGATATTATGACCTTCCTTTTCCCTCTAGGAGTAGGAGAAAAGATCAAGTCCTACAAGGTAGCTCATTATATCAGATGCATGTCGATGTCAGAATAAACACGGCATTGAGACAGGATTAGGCATCATAAACCGGAGCATAGAGTTCTTACCTGCTCTGCACGTGAAAGTCCGGAGTATAAAGGCAGAGCGAGAAATTCTGGCAAAGCATAATATAAAAATCAAATAAGTGATTCTACATTTCCACTAACAGAGTAGAAGTAAAAATAATCTGAAACAGAAACTAACACCAACAAAGTTACATAGGCCCTTAATAACACAGCAACTCTAGCATAAGCATAAAACTTATAAGCTACAATAGGAAAGGCACTCTGTCGTTTTAGCTACAATGTCAACCTAAGTCCTGCCTCATACTATACCATTAGCCCAGCACCTCTACGGGGCTCCAGCGAAGGAGCAAAGGAGTCAGGTTTAAGCAAGCATATACACTAATAGCAAACTTTTTGCCCAATCCAGCAATTACAAAGAGACTATTCCAATTGGTCTACCCATAACGCATGAGATTTTTTAACTTCACACTAAATATTAAAGAATGGCTTGCAAATATAATTTCTTCAGAACATTCTTGTGAGTAAGCACAGCAGAGCCCTCTGATTTCTCAATTAAGGTTTTTTTTTTTTTTTTTTTTTTTTTTTTTTTTTTTTTTTTTTGGACATAATCCTTTCAGATTTTACTAGTGGGATAAACTCCTCTACAGACCCATAACATTTCTTGAACTCGATCAAGGAGCTATATGAATTAACTATTAAAAGTTGTGACATTAGCAAGGCAACGGCAATAAACTTATAGCTTGGCCTTTTGAAACAAAAAATCAATGGCATAAGGTATATATTTCACAAAAGTCAAAGTTTCTTATCAGTATGTCCAAGTTGAGATAGGTTTGTTTGTCCATGCTACCAATAATAAACCATAACCTCCAAGATATTCCTGATTGTATCTTCAGTTCATAGGAATTCCTATTAATTTGTTGCACAAAATCTCCTAAATCCCAGGGAAGTTACACCGTGTTCCTACACTCTTCTATCTCCTTCCATGAGGTCTCCTTCAATCCTCTATCATTGCCATAAATAAGTATTGTGATATAAACAAGGTTTGCATCAAGTAGTTTGATTTGATTGTACATCCAGTCATCCACAGATACTTTAACATGGGAATATGATGAAAACTGATAAATCATAATTACCTAAAATTCAGAGTCAGACACTTTTAGGCTTTTAGCAATATTCACATGATCACATCAGAAACAAAAGACCAGTCCCTCATCAGATTATTTGCAAATTGCAATTCATCTTGTTGATAGTATTCACTCTTGATTCTATAATTGAAATACTTGTATACTGTTCATAGCAATAAAGTCCCAAATGAAACTTCATTTTAGTGGGTGATTTGACCCCCTACTATTCCAGGAACCCTACATCAAACACCCATTAAAATTTAAAAGCCCTACTTATGAACAAACTTGATACTCACTACATTGTCTATAGAGTATACTCACATTGAATTTGGTGAAAATATACCCAGTGGACCTAGTAAAGTCATTTTGTTCTTCAAAGATTTAAAGGCATCAACTGCTATCAGCAATCCAGTACATGAAAGTCTTTCCTAACTAATAGTAACATTGTACCAACTCCCTCCATCACCAAATAAAATTCTCATTTGCCATTTGCACATTTTTATATAAAGGTGAATAGAAAAAAATAAGATAATGGTATTTTGTTGATAAAAGGTAAATATAAAAAAGAGATAGTCGGGTTTGGTTGATTAAGAGCGAATAGATAAAGAAGTTCATGGAGTTTGATTATAGAAATGTGAATAGAAAACTAGATGAATTTGAATTGAGACTTTCATTTAGGGACAAAAGTTTTAGGTGAAATGGGAAGTTTATTTGAGGATGGAAGGAGAATTTTACTCAACTAAAAAGGGACCAAATTGAAAGATCTAAATTCCACAAAGGAACCACATGCAAGCATGTAAACTTGTAAAGTAAAGTATAATGCCTGGGATCCATAACTTGAGAATTGGCGGTTATTGAACTTTTGTAAACCATGGTCTCCCATTCAAAACCGCAATTATGTCCTTCTTAGATTATTCCAACATCATTCAGGTAGAGCTTTGGGCTCACCACATTTTACCACTCGTCCACCCAATGACTCACATTTTTTCTCTTGCTCCTAAAAGAAAATCTTGGGTCCCAAGGAGCTCCATGCTTCACACAAGAAATGAACTCTAACAATCACACCACCCTCTCCAAAAAAATATAGAGTGATGCTATTATGTCTTAAAAAAAATTCCTGTGCTCCAGTTTCCTGCTATGGCAACTTGATGAATTGTTGTGACTTACATAACAGGGTCCTTGCATCAGAATCCACTTAAGTTATATAAAATACTACTTGGAGAGACACAGCACGTACTCAGTGGCAATATAGTGATATTGCTCATCCACCAATCATCTAGCTTCAAATATTCAACATTGTTAATTATTTTTATTATGGTGCATTTTACAGCAAATATAAAAAATACCAGCACCAGCCACTCTCTGCCAGATTGCCTGCCACAGATCGGCAGACATTAAAATCACCATGTTCAATAACTACAATACTTCCTCCATTCCATATCATCTGTCAACTTACCTAACACTTCTTATTTCATGTCCCTTAACATATCAACGCAATTATGCAATACTACTTGTCAACTTGAAATTCAATACTAAGTGTCTGTGTTAAATACCAATGTAATAGTTACCAACTTCATACTCCCTCCGTCTCTTTATTAAGAACCTATTTGGGTTTTTTCACGGAAATTAAGAAAAGTTGGTTGAAGTACATAAGTGCATATGGGGTTAGAGAGAGTTAGGAAAAAAAAAAAGTGGTCGGGAATAATTGAAGAAAGGGAGAGAGAAAGTGTTGGAAATTGGTGTAAAAAGTCATTATTAGTACAAAAAAGTGATAACAGCTCATCAAAAAGTAGAGAATATTCTCAAACAGTATAACCTTACAAAAATAGGTCCTTAATTTTGATTTGCCAAAAAAGGAATACATGTCCTTAATAAAAGGACGGAGGGAGTAATATATATGCAGAACCTCACAAGTCACTTGGAATGGAGGGAGTAATGATAAGATTGAAAAAAGTGAAGATTCATCGAGAATTGACAATACCAGCAATCTAGCATCTTCCAAGAATAAGCAAAACTAGGGGTGCTAATCGAGTTGAGTAGCTCGCAAGCAACTCGAGATCGACTCGGTCAACACTCGATCAAAAACTCGAGTTTGCTTGACTCGAACTCGACTCGAAACCTTAACGAGCACAAGTCGAGCACGCTATAACTCGACTTGATAAGCTCGCGAGCAGGCTCAAAACTATTTTATTATTAAAATATTATATAACAATTTAAAAGAAAAGAAAAAAATGTTTAAAATAAATAAATAAATAAATAAATAAGGAAAAAAAAAAAAAATAACGTGGCATAAAGAAAAAAATACAGCAATTATATAATAGGAAAAGAACATAAGCCACTCCTCCGTAATTAGTACTACAGGACTACTAGTCAGACTTACTCTACCACTCATTCACTAAAAAAAAGAACCCTAGACACTCCTCCTCTTCATTCACAGCCACTACTTGCCTCTATACTCCTCCCTACTTAGTTTTTTGCTCTGTTTTTTTTTTTCTTTCATTCTCAAATCTCAAGTAATAAGCTCATAAAGAATATGAATTGAAGGAATCAAGATCAACTCAAAGACAATATTAACAAGGAACAAGCTTTTAATATGGCAGCTGCGTTTTGTTACTCTTTTTTCTTGTAGATCTTTAGTTGTTCTTGTAGTTTTATTAGATGATTAATAAAAAATTTATTCAAAAAGTTGGACAACTTTTTATGTTCTTGAGAAATTAGAGGATTAATTTGGGCGTTTTTTCTAGAAGATTTAGCCGAATTTTACAATTAATTTGGGCGTTTGTAATATGTGTGGAAAAGGATACAATTAATTTGGGTGTTTGTATTTGGGTGTTTTCGGTAGATCTAGCTAAGTGAGCAATCAAAGCTTAACGAGTCACGAGCCGAGCCAAAAAATTAAATGAGCACGTGTCAAGCAGTAGTTTAACGAGCTTAGCTTTCGATCACGAGTCGAGCACACCGCAGCTCACGATTGACTCGCTCGATTAGCACCCCTAAGCAAAACTAATTGTATGCAACAAACTAGTATGTAGAATACGGGAAACTAACTTCCTAAGAACTTAAGAAGTATGTTAATGATACCTCCTGAGCTTCTATCAGAACTCTGAGCTTCTTCATTAAGCAGCTGAACAGCCGCATCAATATCATCTTGACCCGTAAGGAATACAAGGATATCACCCACTGTTTGCTATAAAACAGAAGTAAAAGCATACAGAAAGTGAGACATAAAAGTCACTGGAAAATCAAGCCAGTTAAGAGGAAGTCCATTCACGATATTAAAGTGTCAAATGCCCAATTTTACATTACTTTATTTATTTTCCTTGATATGGGTATGTGTATCTACAATAAACGGGAAATGCTTTGTGGAACGGAGGAAGTAGGATTATAATTTTAAATTTAATTTTAATGTTAACAATATTTTACTCCTCTGTTCCTAAAAATTCTTCTCATTTGGAATATAAACAATAGTCACATCTTAAGAGAATTTTCTAAATTCTTTCCAATATATAAAAAAAAAAAAACTTAGACAAGTAGGATCTTGTTAGATTCATCTCAATGAGTACATTTATAATATCAAACTTTTATAATTTTTAATATCAAATAATTAGGGATAGGATGAAAATGTGTATTGGAAAACGTGTAAAAGGGAAATGGAAAGAACTTAAAGGAATAGGAGTACATTTTATTGAAATTTGATTTTAATTTTTACAGTATAGTTTTTTTTTTATAATTTCTTTCATTGTTATTATGATTTTCATTTTAATAAGGATTGTTTTTACTTTACCACCTTCAAAAAATCGAGTTTTGGATTTAACTACCTTATATATTGTTTGAATTTTACCACCTTAAATAAAATTTATTTTGATTATACCACCACTTAACAGACAGTTAAGTCTTGGCAAAGTCAAAAAATAAAAAATTTGCTCCAATTCTAAAGATGGTTTCATATTAAAAATTAATAAAGGAAACAAATCATTTTTGTTGAAATGGATCAATTTTTACAAAAGTAAGTTGTAAAATTTCACTCACACAACTAAGTCTCCTCCAATTGTTATCAAAAACCACTTCACTACACAAATTAGGTACTTGAAACATCAATTATACAAGTATGTTCCATGTTATCAGAAATCCGCTTCACTACACAAAATATGTACCTGCAACGTCAAGTTACAACTATCAAAGTAATGATCAGTTTGTTCGTATTATTGAAGTATAAACTAGTTCTTATTATTAAAATTAATCAGCTAACAGCACAAATTAAGTTTATTTGGAAAATTATAATTTTATTTCAAACAATTTTAGACAAAATACGTTAGTTTCAAATAAGTTCAGATTTTATCAAACAATTGATAAATAAGTTTAGACCAAATAAGTTTAGATAAAGCTCAGTCCAGAAAAATAATACAAGTTCTAGATAAAATAAAATAAGTTCACAAAATCAAATGAACCAAACGGAACTTTAATCAATAAAACCCAATTTCACTCACCACAAAATACAAAATATTAAACTATACCCACAAACTTCTTTTTTTATTCACCTTTAAACAACAAGACCCCAATACAATTTCTCTCGTAGTCTCCTAGGTACTTGTGTCCAAGAGAAAAGAAAACTTAGTTTGGGGACGGAAGGATTATTAAGTTAGTAGTTTAATGGCAGACAACAATATTTCTCCATCTTCATTTTTGGTAGACGATTGTATAACATCTTACATTTCCTATAAATTGTTGATATTTAGTAATTACATGTGGAGAGCCAAACAAAAATCAAGTGTAAAAATACTGTAATAATGTGACGACTAACACTAGGAAATTTCTTCACCAACTAGTCACTGAGCTAAATTTCAAGCAAGATACTTTATTGGACAACTAGCACCTACACTGCTACACATATCACTCTCTGACATAAAGATTTAATAGTTTCTTAACATGCTCTAAAGCTCACTTGTACCTGTTTGTGTATCAACATAACAGTTGATACAGCAGCTCGAAGATAGTCTGCAACCGGCTCCTGAACATAATTGATTTCGACAGTAAAGCCTCTTCCCTGCAGTTTATTGTACATGTCTTCAATATATCTTAAGATAAATAGAGTAGCAATATTTGACCAGCACAGGATCCCAAATGTACCTCAACTGAGATAATGGCAGGTTCTGTCTTTGGCCCAAGTTCGTCACCAGCTCCTCCTCGATGCTTCTTACTAGATTAACAATGGGTATAAAGGTAAGTATGCTTTAATTTGACTAATAAACTAGTTATTCTCAGCATTATAACGGTAACATTCATCTATTTAACTACAATACGCCAGTTTCAATGGTTAATGAATAAGATAAACAAATAGACTAAACCAGAACTAAATCTTCAACTTCCTCCGTTTCTTTTTAGTTGCATCACTTTCCTAAAACAAAAGTTTTAAATTAGTTGCATCACTTTCCTTTTTAGTTTATAAACTCTCTCTATCTCTCTCCTATCACATGGGTCCACATTTTTTATTCTCTCTATCCCTCTCATCTCCAAAAATTGCCTAGGAGTCCGCAATTTGCAAAGTGATGCAACTAGAAAAAACAAAGGAAGTATATTGAATTCCAGTCTATACTCAACATAACTTCACTTGGACCCTTAGATTATTATATTTCTGTCTTTACATGAATATTAGAATTCAAAACTCATTGTTTTATTATTCTTTTGAGGCAAGGCCAAATTAGAGTTCCTCTTATATTTAACTTTCTTTAATTCCATTGGTAGACATCCTTTCCTCTAAATGATTAATTTAACAACTTCATATGAGTTTCTAAATCTAAGAAGGAATAATTCCTTGATTTTATTCTCCTAGACTACTTATTTGATGTTGACGTTTTTGTTTTATTTAAAAATAAAACATCCCCCATATGCTTTTCTCCAATTACTTGCATTAGTTCACTAGTAGGATCTAGTCTCTTTTAAAACCTTCTACACAATAAAGTTTGACTACTAGCTAGAACCATGAGTCATGCCATGAGCCACCACATCCTATGAGTCCAGGTGTCAAACACAATCATTTTATAAAATTTGTACATATTTTTGTTCAAGTGTCATACCAATATCATGAGTATCTGACACAAGCACTAAGTGAAATGAAGAGTCAGGGTAATATTTGTTATGATGTGTGTAAAAGGTGCACCTGGGCACTAGGGTTCCAAGAATTTTTTTTGTCTAGGCGAGGCAATTTCAATAAGGCACACCATGGCACACTGAGGAGCAAAAAATGTTGTTGAAGATTCCCAACGCCTCATTGGCTCAGTGCACCTCAAGCCTTTCAATACATACATTGGTTACAATTTTGCCATAACAAAACGCCTGTTATATTTTTTTTATCAAAATAGGACAAAATTGCATACTATTGATGAAATGAATACAATAGGCTTTCTTAAACTCCTTGAAATAGAATGAACAAGGTAATAAATGATATATTACCTAACTCTGAAGAAAGAAGCTATGGATTTTGCTTCAATAGTGGCAGATGATATAATCAAACGCAGTTCAGGCCTACGCCTTTGAATCTGAAATTTGGTTACAAGGGCAACATGTTAAGCACAAGAAAATGATGTCGGCATGGCAACATTTCAAAGTCAACATAAACTGCAATTTAAGAAATACCTTTTTCAAGAGACCAAGTACAACATCAGTTGAAATAGACCTTTCATGTGCTTCATCTACCATGACAACACTGAGAAGCCAAGAAGCAAAAAATGGAAAGACTCAAAAAAGTTTCTCAACAAAAGTTCACAAAAAGCATGAAAGCTATTCATGTTTATACAGGAAGCAAAATATTTGAACCCAAAGAAGACATCAAAGCTGACTTTTGAACAAATTAGTTGCTTAATTGAAACAACAGATAAGAGAGTAACTACAAGGTCCATACAAGAAAATAAAGGTCTAAAAACACTAAAGATTGTTGTACATCTGCCAATAAGCTACCAATTTTTTATAAAGATAGTTGAGTTAAACTGAGTACAGACTATGGTCCTCCTATAAATTTTGCCTCATCAGATTTTACTCTCTTAATTAGTTCAGGCTGAATTCTATGTCATTACCAGTACAATCCACAGCTGACAGTAATGTACAAAACAGTCAGAGTTCGATACATAATTACAATGAATAGAACTTCTAAATCTGTTCACCTTTCCTTTTCCCATTTTCTCTTTTTATTGCATAAATTCAGATATGTTACAGAATCGTTTAATTCAGTACCTGTACTTGGACAGAAGAGGATCATCCATCATTTCCCTCAGCAACACTCCATCAGTAAGAAACTTAATTTTGGTAACACCCTGTGCTGGCAAAACAATATCATTCCACAACGATTACAAACAAGTAAAACACACTGCACAAATTGCATGTAATGCAAGTTGAAAATTATGCACATAAATGAGAGTAAGAAATAGGAATTGGCCAGTGAAAGGGTCTTACCGGAGTTGTCACATCTTCAAATCTGATTACATATCCAACCTCCTCTCCAAGTTTAACACCCATTTCTTCAGCAACCCTTGAAGCAACTGACTGAAATTTCATTCGTTAAAATGGAAGAGCATAAAAGAGTTTATTGTATATGATACAATTAGCAGAAAACCAACAAAATATAGGTCTAGCTAACATTCCTAATATATGCCATGCCAGAGTTCCCCCCCCCCCCAAATTTATTGTAGCGCAAAAATGAGAGTGATACACTCTTTTGAATACAACTTTGAAGCATGCATATCTATATTTTATTTCTGAAAAAATAAAAAGATATAGCATATCAAGACACCAAACTATGGTTTTATGAGAAATACAAAAAAACAGAAAATAAGGCACCAAAGTATGGAAACATGAGTTACATATGCTAGAGCTCACCATCATAAACACTGCAGGGCAAATTGAAAGGAAAAGGCACCTTTGAAGCACATGTTTTAGAATCACAGTACATAGTCCAAAGACCAAATCGAAGATTAGATTACGAAGCTCAATAGCTACTGTAAACATAGACAACCATACTTCCATTTATTCGGGAAAAAAACAAAAGGAAAACACGAAAATGCAGCCGGACTCTCAACTTAGAAACCAGGCTCTCTTTTCTCTCCCTTCAAATTGATAAATTAACCTAAAATAAATTCTGAAATTAGGTTTATTAAGCAGCAAAAAAACTAATATTACTTCTCCCAAATTCGCAATAGCCGGAATAAAAAATGTAAAAATTTTCCATGACAATTGACAATGACTTTAAATTACACAATCAGTCACTGTTTCTCTATGAGCACTTTGCTACCAAACACCTAGTTATATGGAACTTGTTGAATACATACATTTTCTTAAACCTAACAAACCAAATTATATGCTTTTTAGCACATAAGAAATACAATTACAGCAACAAGTAAACATCAATAACACCACATTATCAACATTCGCCATCGAAATCATCAACTGGAGAACTTATTACAGTAATATACTCCCTCTGTCCCTTAATATTTGCCCCAATTTCCTTTTTAGTGTGTCCCTTTAATTTTGCCCCATTCTATTTTTAGACATATGGGTCCACATTTCTACTCTCACAACCACCCCATTAATCCCACCACTTTTCTCTCCCATCACCTTTTCTCAACCAAAACTTAATAAAGTAACATTACACTATGGGGCAAAATATAAGAGGCGGAGAGAGTACAAAGAAGCACAAAACAAAAGTAGAAAACATTAGAAAGATTAAGAACACAATACCTGAACAGCGAGACGGCGAGGCTGAGTGCAAGCAATAACATGACCAGAATCAGCCCATCCTCCTTCATTCAAATACTAGAAATTCCAACAAAAACAAACAAAATTCATCAAAATAAATTAACAATCGAAACAATAAAATTGAAGAAAATGAGAAAACCTGAGGAATTTGAGTAGTTTTTCCGCTGCCAGTTTCGCCGACAACAATGGTAGTAGCATGATTTTCAACTAGAAAGAGAATGGCGTCTCTGCGCTTATGCACCGGCAGCCGCTGGCGCTGCTGCTGGATGTTGTTGGCGTATCCGAAACTAGAAGATGAAGAAGAAGACGAGGAAGAGTAGAAGAAGAGAACGCCGCCATCTTCGTCTTCTACCAGTCGAGGTTTCTCGGTTCCAGGCTTCCAGAATTTCGCCATTGTTGTTGCGCCCTTTAGAGTTTTACAGTTTTAGCTAAACACACTATTTTTTTTTTTTTTTTTTGGGATATTCTCAACGGTGAAACCAACTTTTGCTACGTACTAACGATGACTTTCCTTTTTTTCAATTATACAAAATGACCTAAGTTAAAATTTTCATCTCACTCGTAACCTTATTTCATTAAATATTAACTATAGTTAAATTTATATTTAACAAAAAAATAAAAAAAAAACTAAAAAAATTAACCCAACCACCAAAAACAGCCACCCCACTTGCCTAACCACCCCCACCAAAACCCAGCCGTAGACCAACCTCTACCCCTACAACCCCCACCGGCCGACCACTATCCCCACAGCACATTAGCACACCGACAACCATAGATCACTCCCCACCACCGACCACCGCTCCTAACCCCGACCTTGACCCCCTTTTATCTCTCCCTTTGCACTGCTGAACCTCACTCTCAATCCAGACCCCTTTGGCTCCCTTCCCACCGCATATCGAGCAACCCACCTCCTCCGGCGCTCTCCCCTATCGCGTTGGCACAGTCCTCCTCCTTGAACGTCGATGAAACGAATCTACCCCTAAAACTTTTATCTCGTAGATTAGAGACCCCACCCCACCTTGAAACCCCAATAACCACCCTTCCTCGTGCCGGCGAACCCCATGCCATCTCCCCTGCCCCTCCCACTGCCATCTCCACCCCAAGAACCACCACGCCAAAACCCAAATTAAAAAACCCTAAAATCGAAATCTAGGGTTTCGATTTTAGGGAATTCGATTTTGGGGTTTTAGGGTGTCGGGGATGGTGGTTAAGGGGGGAAAGTGGGTGAAGATGGGCGAATTAGCTTTGTTGGCGCAGGGGATGGGGTTTGGGCACCGGCGGGAGGGGAGAGAGGTGTTTTTCGAGTGGAGGGAGGGATTTTAGGGTGGCTGGCAGGTGGGGGTGGCTGTTTTTGGTGGTTGGGTTAATTTTATTTTTTTTATTTAATTTTTTTTTATATGAATCTAACTATAGTTAATATATTTAATGAAATAAGGTTATGAGTGGGATGAAAATTTTAAGGTCATTTTGTATAATTGAAAAAAAGGGTGGTCACCGTTGGTGCGTAGCAAAAGTTGGGGGTCACCTCTCACATGTCCTTCCGATCCGGGTTAGCAGGCTAGGCACTTTAAAAGTGGGGGGAAGGGTAAAGGATTCCCACCCTAAAGTGCCTCTAATGGGATTTGATCTCACAACCTCTTAGTTGTGAGATGCAAACAGCAAACTTACCCACTACAGACTACACCAAGTTTTGCTTGGTGATACACACTGAATGAAGGAACAAAAAGTTAACATTTGTCCTAGGTAGAGTTGGGTACCAATCAACGGGAAAATACAAGTTTATCAAGGGTAATATTCGTCTTTCTAAGTTATAAGATGGGGGTACAATTGTAATTCACGGGTCTTTCCCATTCTTTTCGCTCCATCTGTTGTTCTACTTCTATTCTCGCTCCTCCATCACTTGAATTCAAAGACCTTAACCTAAAATGGAGAAATCAACCCATACCCTCTGGAATTAAGCACGCTCTTATTTCACCATTTTTTAAGCACTTGTTTTATTTAGCGGTTTTGCCGCCAAAAATGGTGGTATCGGGGCGTTGTATAAGGTGTTGGTAAAGAATCTGTCGTTGTTGTTGAGAAAAGGAGAAGAGGAATGAAGAAGAACGAAGGAATATTAAAACAATAAAACATAAGTATATATTGCTTATATTTACAATAGTGTCATTAGATAAAACAGAAGAAATTTACCAAAAGGATCAACTGGCCGGGGTCGCCTCCCGATCAAGCACACGAAAATGTGCAATTCTACACTTACTATAACACGAGGAGGTATAATCGGCTCATCGTGAGCTGATTTAACAAATGTCTCACAAGGGAAGAGAGAAAAGAGGAGAGATATGTAAGTGGTGTGGACCCTGCACACTTTATGCCAAACAATTTAAACTATTATTTATGGTGGAAAAAAGACAACATGTGATTGTACCACATTTTTATTGTACCACCAAGAGCTTGTAGAGTACCACTGAAATAAACTTAAATACCATTACTAGCATGTATACCACCACTGGGATAGCAAATGGTATAATTTGACCACACAATGGTAATACTTCAAATTTTACAAAAATGTCATGGTAGAGATTTTGATAATTCTTCACGGTAATGTGATAGGATGTCCTCCTATAACACATAACTACTTGAGGCATTATCAATTTAAAAAATTTATTAGCATGGGTAATTGGGCATAGAGAGCTAACTTATATGTTTGTTCGCTTAATTTATTTGATTTACAATTATTATTTTTTTAGACAGCCAGCTTTATAATTATGTGTGTGTGTGTGTGTGATGTTTGTCTATGCAATGACATAGGATTGTGACTCTTTAACTTATTTTATGTTCTTATAGGGATAGACCTCCAATTTATTTATGTTTAATACACGGGTAGATCTCTATAGGGAATTTTTCAAACTCAACTTTGAGCCCCACTGTGATCATGCTTTTAAGCATGGTAGCGTCCAAAGGGAAGGAAACTAGAGATAAAAGAGTCGCCAACAAGTTTTAGGAACTTATAAGCCGTTCACGGGTGTGAAGGTTACACCCCATTCACGATCACGGAGATCGCTAACTCCATAGTGGTCCGGGACCATGACTATGATCAGGGACGATGGTACGAATCTAACCTAAAAGAGATTGAACCCGCCCTAAATCAGCCTCTACTTAATTCTTATGATATTCATGTGCGCTTTCCAATCAACATACATACATCAAATTAGCCCTAAACCTGTTTAACCTACGTTAGTTGATTATTAATAATGCACAAATAAATCTAATATTGGTGATCACTTGAATTAAAATTATATTAACCTAAAATCAAATTATCAACTATCTTATTAGGCGTGATTTCAAGTACAAATTCCCTTTAAACCTGTAAGAAAGGGTATGATCAAGCAATAATAATCAATCATGAATAATCAAGCAACGTATGATTGACACAACAATCACCATCATAATCAAAATCATCAACACATGATTAGCAAGATCCTAGGCATGATACTAGACGGATTAATAACAAATCCTAGCATGTCACTAATAATAATCATGATCAAAGCATTAACCTTAACATGATACTATCAGCATGATATTATAATATATTAGTAAACACTCTAAACATGATACTAGGAATCAAAATCAACATCCTAATATGATACTAGGAATTGGTATAATATCCTAAGCATGAAATCTATCAAAAGAACAATTAAGTAATCGAATTACTTACATTGATGCCTCGTATCTTTTTCTATCAAGACAATACACACGTTAGTACACTTCAAGAAAGATTAAATCAAATAAGAATTAAAATATAGATTTGGGACCAAACCCTCAGAAGTATCAACCTTTCACGTCGAGGTCAAAGGCAACTTCGAGATTGGCTAGGAGTATTCAAAGCTCGTGAAGGAGGTATGGTGTTTGATTAGAAAAAAGTATTAAGGATGTGTATTAGGAATCAACCGAGACCCCGTTAGTAGCGGCGAGCGAGAGCGGATTGGGGGTTTGAAGAAAAACAAACACGAATAAAAACCTCAGCAAAGTGTTCACTTCTTTTTCGCCAGGTTTCATTCGATTTGTTGTGGATTAGATGATGGAAAAACCAGCAAGCTACGGCTGAAAAGCTTAGTAAGATTGAAAGCCACTCCCACCTAGATCTATGAATTTTTCTATCAATTTCATTACCTTATCCTTACCTATGAGGTTCCAACATTTTCTCCTTAATTGACCTAGGAGTTGTTCCCGGGCATCTTTAAAAAAGAGGTTCTTATAAACTCTAACTCCATCCCTTGGAAAGAAAAAGGTAGCACCGTCTGTGAAGTTTCCCAATCTACAATCCTAGCCCCCATATAGCAGGTAACCATTCTCTACTCACTTCTTGGGGCACTTGGTACAAATACCCCACTCGGTGAAGGAATCGAAAGATAGTGAATGACAAAACAAGTGAGGGTAGTGAGATTGTAAATCTTCGAGTAGAATCGGTTTGTTTGCAAATGCCCAAGCTGTGGCACTGATGACTTTGTTACCTTTTTCCGATTCTTTGACTATTTGATAGCGATGTCAATTATTATGTCAAAAATAGGGACAATTTTGCAACGGCAATATTGTAGCCATCGTAATTTTTAAATCTGGACCTTTAAAATTTAATATTAAATCTTGACCATTTATAGAGTTGACTTAATAATTAATACAGTAGAATGATATTTTTGTATACAATAAATAAAAATTAGTTATTGTTTCGGTATGAAAACAATAGGATCTTCGGCAGATCCTTTTCGACAGAGAAGACTGATCTCGGTCCAAGTGGTGACTGGGCCGAGGATTTCCTGCACAGCAAACACATGTTAATTAGCCTCGGGGGTGGTTGCCGAGGAAGGCCCCTCCGATGCTTTAGTCAGTTCAGTGAGAGTAAATGCTATGCAAGAGAATTAATTGCTTGAGGCTGATTGTGAATATTTCTGAATGTATCATAAATGAGACAAATGAAGGCTTTTATACCTTTACTCAATAGAGGAGAACTGGGCCCTTGAAGTCAGATGGGCTTGCCATGATGACTAGGCTTGGCTGACTTAGCATGCTTTTGGAGAGTTGAACCTTGCATTGGGCTTTTGTAATTAAATCATTTGGATTGGCCCAATTAGTGATGACTGAATTAGACCAAAATAACTTACCCCCCAGACCCGATTCAGATGAAAGATGGGTCGGGTTTTGACTTGCAAAATAGAGGGAAACAAATGATTGAATTTTAAATCTGGAATTTAGACAGTTAATGACGTTTTAACTGTCATTAAGGAGAATAACTAGGGAAGGTGGAAGGTTTAGTGGGTAGTTAACCTAGGGACGTGTTTAACGGTTGTGTTTAAGTGGAATTTAGTGGGGTTTTTGGCGGTTTTAGACTCTTGGAATTCTTGATTCTAGCAAGCTTATATAAACCACCCTTACCACTCTTTTTCCGGCACATTTTGCAAACACATTACCTGAGATTCGTTAACTCCCTTGAGAACCCGATTTTACTCTTTCCTTATTCTCCGCATTTCCGAGCTTTTAAACTGAAATTTGTTGCTCCGAGTCAATAGATCGGCGAATTCCGAGCTTGACAAAGGTAATTTTTCTCGAAACTTGTTCAGATTTTCTTGTTTTCTAACCAATTTCCCTTTTCCTCGATTTCTTTGATTTTTACACCAAAATGGTACGAGATTTGGGAAAAAGACCCATGGGTACTGAAGAAGAGGAAGCTCCTCGGCAAGAGGCCAGGCGCCATCAACCACTTGGGCAGATACCACCTTTGAGCAATCTAACCTTCTTTCCTAGGAGGGAAGATAGGGTTTTTGATGAGAACCCATCCATTGCTGCAATTCCACTGGCTTCGGTGAACCGAGGTTGGGAGGAGGCTAGCACCTCCAGCAGTGGTTTGGCACATGGGTCGAGGAGATACCAACAGGGGCCACAAAATGGCATAACCCACCTGAGAACCATGGGTTGATGACTGCTGTTCCCTATGAAGGTGGGTCAAAGGGAATGCCCTCCATCACTTCGCCGAGCAAATTGAAGTGTTTTATGGAATTATGGAAGAAGACGGGTATTGGTGTCAAACGCCTGTAGCCGAGGACAAAATTCATA